CATGGATCCTATTTGGAGCGCTGTCAATCTAGACAATCTATTCCGATCAGACATCAGCTGTTCTAATTGTAAATATTGTAATTTTGTTTGTTAATAAATTAGTTGACTATTTATTTTAACCCTACTAACAGGAAATCAATTCTATTAATAAACCTCTAACTTAATGATTCTGGGAAAAATAAAAAGTTTGATGAAAAGTTTGGCTACAACTATTGGATAGAAAACAGTGGCTTGAGGAAGGTATGCTATTCAGAGAGGTGAATAAGCTTATTTCCTTTCATTTTGGTGTGGGAAAAATCATCCCGTAACAGGCTCAATTACTCCGAAAGTATTTGAGTTCTCAAACTCAATCTAGCACTGATTTATAGAGAATTTAATACTCTTTCCAACCATATATAATTTATTTTGATTTGCTCAAAATTTAATAGAAGTATTGGCAATTGCTCCTAACCTTGTCAGGATTCAAAAAAAATTTAAACCTAAAAATTGAGATTTTCTTTTTAATTTTTCTCTGTGCTGAAATCAAGATTTTGTAATGATGTTAGAGTTTTTTTCGACCAATTTAGACCCGCTCTATCGATTGGAAAATATATCAATATTGCTTCTTCTTTTATATTAGTTCAGCAGTTTGCACCAAAATAGGTATCTATAGATAAACTTCTTTGTTGTTATGATTAAAAATGAGAGCGTAAGGAAACAAATTGAAAAAAACCAATTCTGATCCAGTTGAATCTACTCTTCTTCTTCAGAACAACGCATGAAATGACTCCAGATCTAAATCTAAATATAAGGAAACAGTGAGACAAAATTGCCAAGCCCAGACCACTGCATTATCAAAAAACAGCAGATCTTTCTTAATGTGAAGCAGAAGTTCTGCTGATGATGTATGAAGAGATAAATTGAATATAATTATTATTTTTTTGATTTTCAACACTAACAATCTATGACAAATTATCACCCCTCTTCGGTTAAAGCTCTCTTTCAACTGAATTTTTCGTCAAAATATCTGCCATTGTTCACTTCTATTAATATATTCAAATTCTCATCTTCATCACACTTTAACTTAGAAGTCCGGTTTGCAATATCCAGCGTTTGTGTTTGAAGACAATTTTGATTTGGTCTTGCGTGGGAGAATCAACGTCTTTCATCTATTTTTTTATTTGTTCCTGTGTAACATTGTCAAGGAACGATTCTGCTCCATATTCTTGAATATATTTTGGATATATATTCTCTCGATTGCTTCTGCCTAATGACCCTTCCTCTGTATCTTCATCTACTTCAGATTCTACTTTGAGCTTATGATTCAATATTTCTACTTCTCCAACAATACTTTTTTGATTCGTGTTGTCGATACTTGACTATTTCTTTTTCTCGTCGTGAGATTCAACTTCAAAGCCCTCTTCTTGGCGTGAATTTGTTAAGAATTGTAATTTCGTTTGTCCAAATTTGAACAAATTCTTATCAAATTCAACATAACTGTTCAAATTTCCATCGTCCAGCTCTCTTGGTAGACAAAGATATGCAACACAACTGAAAATTCTCAATTTTCTGGTGACCAAATATACCACAGTCCATAGCTGCTCCTGAACAAGAAGTCTTACATCCATTGTGACATTTAGCAAACATCCTATTTTTTCAATTTAAGTTTGGTTCATTCTTTCAGCAACAGTATGCTCTTCTGGTCTGTAATAGAGCCTAGACTCCTATCGGATACCATTCTATTTTAAAAAATCGATTTTTTCTCGTATCTCATCCGTTATCACATCGAAAACGTAAGATTTTTCAATTGAACTCTGCTATGTTAGTAACAATATGACCTTTTACTTTCGAGAAAACTTCAGTTTCACTCGACATTGTATAGCAAGCAGTGGAATGAGTAGAATCATCAATCAAGGTGCAAAACATAGGTAGGTACCTGTTTTCATCGTAAGATGTTGAATTTTTCTTTGTTCCAGCGGCCTCGTGGTTTTGGTTGTTTCATGATGGTGTGGTAACATTGTTTTTTTTTTGGCAATGAACATGTTATACTTACATATTATTCAAATTTTCAAGATGCCTTATTGCTATAATGTCTCCATAACGCTTGTGCCAAAATTCCGATTTGTTCCAAACGACTACATAAAAAGGTTGATTATCTTGAAGTTTATCTCATAGATTTTCTACAACACACATATCTCCTTTTCCTTTGGTAATAATGGCTTATTTTTCCTCAAAAGTTTGCTTATCCAATCTGAATTAGATTAAGTTCCGATCCAAGAACATCATCGCTTTGTAATCCAATCAGCTGTTTCTCTTGTTTGCAGCATTTCTCCAAACTTTGCTGTTTTTATTTTCACAATTTGACTTATTCTTATGTTTGAAAGGTAACCCTTACCAGTCATATGTTCGATCTGCAAACAAGTCATGATTCACTTCTAGGCAACACAAAATTGAATATTTATGCAGAAGCTGTTTTTGTGTTCTGATATCGATTCTGATTTCTATAGTGGTTGTCCTTAAATCTACAATCGACTCTACATGCAATCCCATTTGACTCAAAATATTAAACGATTTGCTCTCCTGGTACTCACTGATTTCATCATAATTGGAGAATCTTCTTGTTTTCTATTGGTAATAAGAAAATGGGCTTCAAGACTGTTAAGATGGCTTCCATTTCATTATGAATAGTTTCCAAGGTATATTTACGCAGTTGACTTACAATTTCAGCTCTCTGAATAGTACTTTGCAATGCTTTCCACACATCGAAGTATTGGCAATTGCTCCTAAGCTTGTCAGGATTCAAAAAAAATTTACACCTAAAAATTGAGATTTTTTTTAAAAACTTTTCTCTGTGTTGAAATCAAGATTTTGTAATGATGTTAGAGTTTTTTTCGACTAATTTAGATCCGCTCTATCGATTGGAAAAGTCAAAATTCAATAAATATGAACAATAAAAATTTCGAATTTTTCGAAGGGTTACCCCTTTAGATTTTTATTTCAAAATATTTGATTTTGGATATCTTAAAATCTATTGAAGATTTTGATTTAAAATTTACAGGAAATGTAAATCTTGACAAGGGCAAAAATGGTATTTAGTTAAAATCGCTAGCTCTTATGGTTTTCGAGAAAATCGAGTTTGAAATTTTTGATAAAATTTGGACTAAAACTTAACTTTGAGATCCAATTGCCCAAAAAGTATACGAGTTATCAGAACCAATTTAGCATGGATTTATAGAGAATTTAATGCTCTTTCAAACCATATATAATTTATTTTGATTTGCTAAAAATTTAATGGAAGTATTGGCAATAGCTCCTAACCTTGTCAGGATTTAAAAAAAGTTTATATCTGAAAATTGAGATTTTCTTTTTGATTTTTTTCCCTTTTGAAATCGAGATTTGGAAATGATGTTAGAGTTTTTTTCAACTAATTTAGATCCGCTCTATCGATTGGAAAAGTCAAAATTCAAAAAATCTGAAAAATAAAAATTTCGATTTTTTCAAAGGGTAAACCCCTTTGGATTTTAATTTTAAAATTTTCAAACTCAATTTTCTCGAAACTCGTTAAAAATTTTGTATCAATTTTTTTTGAGATTGTAGCCCTTGATGAGGGCTTCAAAATGGTACTTAGTTGAAGTCAATGGCATTTACCGTTTTTGAGAAAATCGAGTTTGAAGTTTTTGACTAAATTTTAACTAAAATCCAACTTGAGGCTCAATTGCTCTCAAAGAATTTGCGTAATCAAACTCAATCTAGCACTGATTTATAGAGAATTTATTACTCTTTCCAACCATATATAATTTATTTTGATTTGCTCAAAATTTAATAGAAGTATTGGTAATTGCTCCTAACCTTGTCAGGATTTAAAAAAAAAATTTAAACCTAAAAATTGAGATTTTCTTTTTAATTTTTCTCTGTGTTGAAATCAAGATTTTGTAATGATGTTAGAGTTTTTTTCGACTAATTTAGACCCGCTTTATCAATTGGAAAAGTCAAAATTTAATAAATATGAACAATAAAAATTTCGAATTTTTCGAAGGGTTACCCCTTTAGATTTTTATTTCAAAATATTTGATCTTGGATATCTGAAAATCTATCAAAGATTTTGAATTAAAATTTTCAGAAAATGTAACTCTTGACAAGGGTTTTAAAATGGTATTTAGTTAAAATCGCTAGCTTTTAAGGTTTTCGAGAAAATCGAGTTTGAAATTTTTGATAAAAGTTGGACCAAAAATTTAACTTTGGGATCCAATTGCCCAGAAAGTATTCGAGTTATCGGAACCAATTTAGCATGGATTTATAGAGAATTTAATGCTTTTTCCATTCATATATAATTTGTTTTGATTTGTTCGAATTTCTTTGAAGATATTGGCCATTATTCCTAACCTTGTCAAGATTTGAAAAAAATTCCAGAACAAAAATTGAGATTTTTTAGCTTTTTGAAATCGCCATTTTGAAAGCGATGTTAGAATTTTTTTCGATTAATTTAAACCCGCTGAATCAATTCGAAAAGTCAAAATTTCGAAAATATGGAAAATAAAAATTTCGAGTTTTCGATTGGTTTGACTGAAACCCCCTATAAGCAACGCCACTGGCCAAACAAAATACATGTTGCCAACTTGAAACATATATAAATATATCAAAAGAACAAATACAAATTTATATAAAAATCAAAGGACCTCACACTCCACTTATGGGTATTTGGTTTTCTGTCAAACAAATGAAATTTGTATGTTAATGAAGTTAAATTTTAATACATTACGAGGGATGTTTATAAAGTGTATGCCATTTTTAAAAATATTCAAAATTGATGAAATTTCAAAATCACCAGAAAGTGCTATTTTTCAAAAAGTTTTTCACCAATCATCAGACCTGGCATCACTGGATTCAGTGATGTTATTCATCCTTAACAGTAGCATAATTGTTTTCAGCAGTAGAGCAAGTGAAGTTCAATTTAATTTTCAATTTTAAACGATAGGAACTTGTTTACTTATTTATAAAGGAAGTTTAATTTCTTGTTTTAGGTTTCCACATGGCACCGAAACTGAGCGCAATGTTTCCGGAATCCTGTCTACTGATTTTCGTTGGTGTGGTCATCGGAGTGGTCCTAGTCCACCTAACAGATTCAGTACACATGTCTCCATTGACACCGGACACATTTTTCATTTATATGTTGCCCCCGATAATACTGGACGCCGGATACTTCATGCCCAACAGATTGTTCTTCGACCATTTAGGCACCATTTTGCTGTTTGCCGTCATAGGAACCATTTCGAATACTTTACTTATAGGTAACTTAGTAACTTATAAAGACTTGATAAGTATTTTATTCGGATATTTTTTCTAGGTGCTTCCTTATGGGCAGTAGGACTAACAGGCTTGTACTCCTGCAATACTCCAATACTAGACATGTTCCTGTTCGGGTCTCTGATCTCCGCAGTGGACCCGGTAGCTGTGCTAGCCGTTTTCGAAGAGATCCAAGTTAACGAAATCCTCTACATTGTCGTATTTGGGGAGTCGTTGCTTAACGACGCTGTAACGGTGGTACTCTACCATTTGTTCGAAGCCTACACGGAGATGGGCCTCACAAATATCATGCCCACGGACCTTTTGTCGGGTTTTTTGAATTTTTTAGTCGTAGCCGTAGGTGGCACTGTGATAGGTGTGATATGGGGCTTCGCCACTGCCCTTGTGACTAGATTTACGAATGAAGTGCGCGTGATTGAACCTATTTTTATATTTGTGATGGCCTATTTGGCTTACCTTAATGCCGAAGTGTTTCATATGTCTGGAATTTTAGCGTAAGTAATTTTTGCTTTGTTAATAATAATTTTGGACATCAATGTTGTTAAATAGTACTTAAGTCTCCATTTCTTACATGTACTTACAATTTTTCCTTATTTTCACTAAATTGTTCTAACAAAATACAAGACTTTACGTTGACCTAAATTCTTCTACCGCTATTTCTAAGAAATATAATCATTTTTTGTTTAACCGCAGATATGGCAATTAGAATATTTAATCGCGTCTGTAAGCTAACATTTATGTCTCTGTTTCTGGCAAGTCTGAAGACTAGAATTAGAATTTCAAGTGCGATTTTCAGTTTATTAATGGAACTTCCGTCATTTCTCAACCCCCAACGACCACTCGCTGATATGAAAATCTTTCACAGACCCAAAACTTGTAGACGAAAATAACTTCTGCTTTATTATCCAGTCACGCGACGTCAAGAAACGCCCGTGAATGTTTCAGCAAATCTGATAAATGTTGATGTTCTCGTTAATTAGTAAAATATGTACTATTTTCAAACCTACACTTAAATTCCTTCTGGATCTGATGAATTTCATTTATTAAATTCCAGACAAAAAAATGTAAAATTTGCATAAAAAGTTCATTTCAGTGACTGGTTGGAATTGAGATTAAGCTCTAAAAATAAGGGCCTTGAACATAAAACAATCTAGATTTGCCTCAATGTGCTCTATTAATCGAGGTTACATGTAAGTCAAAAGTTTTGTTCATGAAACCTCGCTTAACCGTGATAACTAGACCGCTCCTTTTAGAGAGAAAATAAGAATGTCTGAAAAGAAAAATATCGTCCAAGTTAGACACTCCACAAAATAGAAATTTCTTCATCATTTTATAATTATTATTAACAGGCACGTTCCTGTAATTACCTACACGTGTACCAACATTTTATAATAAATCTAATTAGAGAGGGTATAACTTGTTTGTCGGAGAAAATTAAAGCAAGTCAACACAAAATTACTATCGACGTCCCACGTTGAAAATATAGGTTTTTGAACTACATAAACCGTATTTATGATGATTGCTTTGCTCGCCACTTTGCCATCGGAGCCTGTTTATACCAAATAAGTGGGGCAAAAAAATATAATGACGAATAAATTGTTTCAGGATAACGTTTTGCGGCATAACGATGAAAAACTACGTGGAAGCCAACGTTTCGGTCAAGTCGCACACGACCATCAAGTACGCGATGAAAATGTTGAGCAGCTCGTCGGAAACGATCATCTTTATGTTTTTGGGCGTGGCCACTGTGAACAAGAGTCACGACTGGAACACTTGGTTTATCATATTAACGATACTGTTTTGTTCGGTTTACAGGGTGATTGGTAAGGATTTATTCAATTTTTTTATTTAAATCCTCAACAGGAAATCATAGAAAGATCAAGTCCTAAACCTTTCCTTTAAATCCCTTAGCCTTTCACATACAATCTTGTAATCAGTCTGATAGTTGAAGGCAAGTTTTAATTAGAGGCTGTTGATGAATTTGACCCCCTTGACTTTCTTGTAACTATCTGCAAGAAAAGTTCACCGTTCTATAAGTCTTTTGGTCGGCGGATAACTGGCCAACGAATGGAATAACAGATTGCGTTTTCATCCGTCAGATTGCATACCTAACAGTTCTTCAGAACGTGAATAAATTGGTCCTTAACAGTAGTAAAATTCTTATTTTTATTCGATATTTAATCCGTATCTATATTACAGTTATTTAATTTAACGATTGTGGAAGTAGATTGAGAATACAGAAAACCCTTTTTCTTGTTGAGCATTATGTGTGTATTTCTATATAATAAGTCAATCCCATTTTCTTAGTTCCTTGGAAATATCTTAGAATTCTGTTACCAGCAGTCCATGTTTCTGATGTTAAGTAATCTAAAATTTTGCTTAAATATGACACTGCGTAATTCATATCAGGTTTACTCGTTGTATATAGGTATATAGGGTGTCTCACGAGGTTTTTTTCCAAATGATAACTTCGGAACGCATCATCGTATGATCAACTAAATAGAAGTATCTGTTTGTTGTGTTGCCACATTTAAGTTCATATTATATCAGGTATTGGGCGTATACTCTCGGGTGTTTGACAAACATTTTCTGGAAATCTTTTGACTTGATCATCAAATGGATCCACATCAATTTTAACATCACGAACAAGTGTTTCTGTAATAGTATTAACAAATTTTCTAATACTGTTTACATGTTTGTGTAATACCTATATTTTATCTTTCACTTTTACTAAATAAATCACTTCACTGATATGTTTAATAATTTTACCCGATCCACTTATTACCATAGCCAGGTCCTAAGTTTCCTACTAAGACTTTTTCACCTACCAAAAATAAAGGTTGTTTTCCAAAGACATCTCAATTATTCAGTTGTACATACCCCTCTTTTTTTTATTTTTGTTTTAGCTTAAAAATAGCTTCATTTGGACTTATACCCGTGCTAGTAGGAGTACCTTATAACTAAGCAGGAAATTTACAATATGTTTCTGAATAGTTAAACACGATTTCTAAAGCAGGTATTTGTTTAGTGCATCTTTCACATTCTGCACATGACACTCTGCACTGCCATTCGCTTGTGGGTGATATGGTAGTCCTTTCATACAATTGATACCATTTATTTGACAGAATTTAACAAATTTTTTTGAGTTAAACCGAGGCCCATTATCACTCACGAGAAAATCCGGTAAGCCTATGAATGGGAATATTCGACTTAATTTTTCAACACATTGGTGCCTCTTGACAGAGGATATGTATCAATCCAACGCGATTTACTATCCACTATTACCAAAAACATTTTCCCTTTACATAATGAAAAAAATCGATATGAACTCTTGAAAACACATTCTGAGTCTTAGGCTACGACAGGAGAGACTTCTCATGATTTTTCTGATTTAACTAATAAATGGAGCAAGTCTGAACACCAAGATACTGATCTGGCTAACATTTTTGATCTGACAATACCTGTGTGATCCTCGTGAACAAGGCCTATAGGATATCTTTCTGTAACGCTTTGGTACAACTACCTTGATACCCTTCGGTAAACATTCTTGTTCAATAGAAAATTCATTTCATTTAGTAAAATTGGTCTCAACTTATTATCTTCTTTTGAGGGCCAACTAATTTTACCAAAATAACTAACTAGCAATGTCCTTATATGAAAAAGGTAACTGAGTTCACTGAACTATTCACACCTGTGTCATCAGTTAGAGGTAACCTAGATAACATATCATCTTCAAATAACTGTGATTCCTTTCTATATTCAATCTGATTATCGTATATACTGAAAGAATGACAATCCAACGTATGATTCTGGAAGCTGAGATGACAGAAATATTTTTATTTGGATTGAACATCGGCTGATGATCACTGACTAAAATAAAAGACCTGCCATATGCAATGTGTCCAAGATAAGGAGGGCCAGTATGGGGATCTGATGATATGGTGGCCCAAAAACGAAACGTCAGATTATAAATTTGATAATGCCATATTGTAGAGGAGGAAGAGTGACAACGATGAAGTGGTATTTATTTTGAAATATCTCTTCAAAAAATCCACATTGGTCAATGTTAACTTTCATATTGTAATGCCCGTATTACATCTGTGTATTTTTCCGTGTATTTCTTCATGTAGTTCAGGGTGCCAGCATTATTTTGTTTTTCATAATGCTGATTTAAATTGCGTTTGAAGTTTTTCAGTTGTCAGCCTGAACTACATGAATAAATACACTAAGAAATACACAGATGTAATACGGGTATAAGAATTTAATCTTTCTGAAACCAATGCAAGATTTTTATGTAGTTCCTCCCTTAGAACTGGCACAAACTAGAATATCATCAAGATAACAACTAACCCTGAATAAGCCACACAAAATCTGATCCAATATTGATTGGAATTACGCTGGTGCACACGATATACCATAAGTAATGCCCGTATTACATCTGCGTATTTTTCCGTGTATTTATTCATGTAGTTCAGGATGAAAACTGAGAAACTTGAAACGCAACATAAATCAGCATTATGAAAAACAAAATAATGTTGGCACCCTGAACTACATGGATAAGTACACGAAAAAATACACAGATGTAATACAGACATAAGACGGATAAACTAGAATAACCGAATTGTAAGAAATTTTTGAAACTCAGGATGTACCTTTAATTGCTGATATACCTCCGACATATCTAATACCGCAAAAATTGTACCTCCTGCAAACTCTGCAAAAATATCCTCCGGCCTTGGTAACGGGTATTGATCTACATTTACTGTCACACATCGCCATCTTTTTTTGATATCAAACTAATGGGTGAAGTCCTTTGACGAAATACGTTAACATACCTATAACAACCTGAGGGCATTATAAGCCCAGCGGGCGTTATGATCTATAACGCCCGCTTATAATACCCTGAAATGTTTTTGTTGTTGTTGTTTTATTGATTTGCACTTTACCCTAGGCAGCCACTAAATGTCCGACCGAAAATAATGTTTGGTCTGGTCAGGATTCGAACCCCGTCTACCATCAACGTTTCCCATGTAGTCAAGTGCATTAACCCACACGACCACCGTAGCCTTGCCTTATGAGGTGTTTATAGATATATTAATTTATTTCGTTTCTAGGTACAGGTACATGTTGAAATACAAAACAATATTTTGTCACGCAAGTTTAACTGATTTTGTTTGATACTAAATTGATGAAAGAACACTGTGTTGAGTAGAAAATAAAGCACCACGGGGATTTTTAGATTATAATGCTTTTCAGGCGAAATATATCCGCGGGCCAGAGGCCCTCCGGCTAGTTTCGCCTTCGGGCATTATAATTCACATAATCCCCTTGGTACATAAATAGCTATTATCTACAAGCGTTTGGTTATGACGTTTTCACATAACCATTTTTCTAGTATTTGTAAACGAAAATTGGAAAAAACATTTGCTATCGATGTGTTAACCCTAACGTCACAGTTAGGAATTGTCCTAAATGTGGTAACTCGGGACACGGTCCCAGGGGAAATTATTAGGTCGCGAGATTTCTTTCCTACACACCCCAGCGACCAATAACCTTGATGATTTTGGTAATAGGCTCCTTCTTGACTACATTGTATCATATGCGCAAGGTGATCAGCGTCCATACCTTGAAATTAAAATATTGGGATATCCTATGTTAGGTCTACTTGACTCAGGTGCTAGTCGTACTCTGGTTGGGTTGCCTGGATATGACATTCTTTTGAGCTTAGATTTGAAGTTGGTAGAACAATAAAATTCTTGCACTGTGGCTAATGGCCAAACTTGCACAAGTATAGGTTACATCCAGACACCCATAACCTTGATGGACAAAACTCACATTATTGATGTCATCGTACTCCCTGAACATTCACATAAAATTATTCTTGGAATAGACTTCTGGAAAACCATGAAAATTATCCCAGATCTTAGACAAGATGTTTGGCATTTTTCTGAGTCTCATGATGAGACTGATATTTTCTCTATCCAAGATAAAGACAATTTGACTGGTAGAGCAGAAAATTGCAGAGATTGGTACTGGGCTTGGTTGCTGCAAGGTAGCTGAGCATGAAATCATTATAGATCCTGGTACAAGACCCATAAAACAAAGGTATTACCCTATCTCTCCCTTCAAACAAAAGTTTATAGATGACGAAGTTGAGGAAATCTTGAAGTTAGGAGTCATTGAGCGTTTTAGTAGTCCTCGGTATAGTCCTGTGTACCTTGCTCGGAAAAAGAATGGATCCTTCAGATTTTGTATCGATCTTAGACAGGTCAATAAATATACAAAAAAGGACGCATATCCTCTTTCATATATTTCAACCATTTTAGATCGGTTAAGGGAGACTCGATATATCAGTTCCATCGATATTGAGTTAGCATTTTGGCAGGTCCCTTTGAGTACATCTTCCAAGGAGTACACTGCATTTACTTTCCCTGGCAAAGGACTCTTCCAATTCTGTCGAATACCATTTGGCTTATCTAATGCTCCTGCAACCTGGTAAAGAGTCATTGACACCAGAACTCGAACCAAATGTCATGTGCTACATTGATGACGTGGTGATAATTTCTAACTCCTTTTCAGAACATTTGCGGCTTTTGGAGGTTGTATTCGCTTGCGTCAGGCCGGATTCATTATTTCGTTAAAGAAGTGTCACTTCTGCAAGCCAGAATTGAAATACCTGGGCTATCTGGTTGATAAGAAAGGGTTACGCCCCGATCCAGAAAAGGTTGTGGCTATAGTCAACATTCCACCACCGAAAAACATCAATGAAGCTGCTTCCTGGTATCGGCGATTTATCCCGAAATTTTCTTCGGTGTTAGTACCCATTCTTAATTTAACTAAAAAGAACGTTAAATTTACCTGGACTCCAGATTGCCAGAAATCTTTCACATTATTCGAAAAATGTTTAGTCACTGCTCCAATTCTAACTGCACCTGATTTCGACAGGATGTTTTATTTACAAATCGATGCCTCTTAACTATGGGCTGGGGGCTGTTTTAACTCAATAATACGAGGAGGGTGACAAGGTTATTTGTTATCTGTCAAGGTCTTTAACTAAGAGATGAAACTGACTGTCTCAGAGAAGGAATGTCTTATTGTCATTTGGGCTGTTGAGAAGTTGCGTCACTATTTAGATCACATCCATTTTATCGTTATCACTGATCACGCATCCTTGTTATGGCTTCATCGTTTAAAGGATCCACAAGGTCGTCTTGCACGTTGGCAATAACGTCTCCAACAGTTCGATTTTGAAGTTATCCACTGGAAAGGCAAAGACTATATAGTTCCCGATTTTCTTTCTCGAGCGGTACCTAAGGCTGTTGATTCCGTTTCCAATTTTACTCCTTTATCTTACACCCCTACATTAATAAGTGACAAATGGTTTTTGGGAATGCTTTAAAAGGTCAAAGACAAACCCTTAAAGTTTCCTCTATGGCGTACTCAAAATGGCAATCTTTATAAATTTGTGAAACCTTCCATTCCTGAATTGTCTCCTCCTTCAGATGATTGGAAATCGTCGTACATCACACGTGCGTTTAAACATGACTACAAAACTCGTGTGATTAAAACGACCTCGTCGTTCTAATTTTTCACACTCATTATTGTAATCATGTTCATAAACGCACTTGTAATATAATAGTTATTTACATTACAAGTGCGTTTATGAACATGATTACAATAACGAGTGTGAAAGATTAGAATGACGAGGTCGTAGACCGAGTCGTTCTAAGCACACGAGTTTTGTAGTCATGTTTAAATGCACGTGTGATGTACAACGTTTTATCTACAAAGCGAAAAATAAGAATATTTTTTCAATTATCTTCGTTTATTAATAGTTGCCTACCTTCATTCTACCTTCACAGGTTTACCTTTGACATTTGTCAAATCACCAAAAATAGTTGTGTTATGGATGCATAACCTAGTCCAAAACACCACTAGTTGTGTTATGAATTCATAACCTAGTCCATAACACCACTAGTTGTGTTAGGAGTCTCATGACATAACTCAAATACTAGAATAGTACATTAAAATACAAGTTTCGCCCTTTAGAAAACTCGCCTCCGGCTCGTTTTCTAATATAGGGCTCGTGCGATAAAATGACGTCTTATGAAACGAATATTTTATACTATTTTTTCTATTTTGGTATTGTTTAATTAAAAAAGCAAATTTTTCTTGGAAATTTTATTCTCATATTTCCTGATTTCATATGTTTAGGTTGGTAACACTACATGCCAAATATAGAAATCTTCTATTTATAAAATCGCGAATGACAGTTCGATGGCCATCTGTCAGCCAGTGTTACCAACCTCCGATAAGTAAAAAAGGAGTGTCACAAAAAGCTTCTTTTCGAAACTACTTTTAGTGTCGAAAAGACTTCGATATGACACCAAAATAGAAAAAAATGATTATACGAGGGTTACAAAGATTTTTATCAAACACCTATTTATACTTTTCTTTTACCTCTTTCATCAACACACTCTATTCGAATTCATCAACAAAATTTACATTAGAATTACTTTGCCAATCAGGAAACAGAATATTGAGCCAATTTCTACCCAATAAAAGTGTAAAGTTTCTGTGAGATATTGTCACAACCCCTATACATTTCGTCCTGAGACGTCACAACAGGGTCCTTATTCTTGAAACAGGGGAGCAGCGTTCCCAGGAGAACGAGTATTCCGTCTTTCTTATCTATATTATCATTTCCATATCGTTGAGACAGCCAGAACACTCGTTCTCCTGGGAACGCTGCTCCCCTGTTTCAAGAATAAGGACCCAGGAGCGTAACCTGGGGGCGTAGGTAGGGGTTCAGGTAGAGAAAAACTCGCTTGGTAAAGGTATAATAGGATAATGTATTGAATAATAATAATATTACCCTAGAAATAGTATCATGACGTCTCTTCTACGGAGGGACGTACTACTTATAGGCCACTCTGTATTACTTATGTACCCTCTGTACACTTGGCGTGACTGAAGACTGAAGCTGGGTTTGAGACAGGTCCAGAAGGGCGTTTCCCAATAAAGGTAGTTTGCACTGAACCTAGTCTGCCGCGTTCAATGCACCCAGAAGAAGCTAGGTTTGAGAGAGGTCTAGAAGAGCGTTTCCCATTAAAGGTAATTTGCACTGGGAAGAGACTTAGCTAGAGAGGCTTTTCCCTCTGAGGGCTTTTCCAATTTGAGGTGTCTTTGTCTGCCGGTTCTGAATTTCGGCGCGGTATTTATACCAAATAAATTCTGACTCGTCGACACACTTTAGTAAAATTGATGTACAGAGTGGCATTTACTTAAGTAGTTATGTTATGCTGTATTACAAAAACATTACACCCTATAGCCTCAATACTCTGCCCAGAAACTGCATTTAGTTTAAAATATACGTTAGTTAATGGTAGGTAAATGGAATAATTTTCCAAATTGACCATTTGATATAACTGTCTTACAAGCACCTGTATCTACTTCAAATTTCAAAGATATCTTGTTAACTTTTAACATAAAATGGAGTGGAAAATTTTTCACATTGTCACGTACCTGATTAAAGGTTATATAAAGTCAGTGTTTATGCTATTACAAACCTCCTTATATAACGCTTCCTCCTGATTTGACTCTTTAGAAAGCTTCTGCTCTTCAACTGCCCCTAGCTTGGCGGTCGAACAGAGATCTCTTACATGTCCAAACTTCTGGCACGCAAAACACTTCCGCTACCTTGCAGGACACTTATCATTTGAATGCATACGACCGCACTTTTCACAACCATTTTTAACACCCTTTAATGAACCCCTATTATTGCTTCTACTGCTTGAAGTGCTTGGTAGGTAATGAACCTCTTCGTCAACTTGAACGTTGGTTGTTAAGCCAGTTTACTGCACTACCTGCTCCATTTTCTGAAAAATTCCTAATTTGCTTTTCAGCAAGCTCTGCGACTTTTGCTGCCTTAAAGGCACTGTGAAATGTTAAGGTATCATAGAATGAAGGTTTCCCCTGTATATTTTCCGACAGAAGCCCACACACGAATCGATCTCTTAAAGCTTCTTCTAGAAACTGCTTGAAATTGCAGGTGCTGGCTAACTTTCGCAGTTTTACAATATATTCTGCTACACTTTGATCTACCTTGCAAGCTAAAGAAAAATCTCTCAAATATTTCTGAAATGGAAGGTGAATAGTGACCTTTTAGTAAACCTGGGATTTCATCGTAGGATAAAGTTCCATGGTTTCTTTGGTGCAACCAAGTTTTTCAATGTCTGATAAACTGCTGCCTCTCTAGATTAATAAGCATAGATACTTTTATATTATCTGTATTGACTATGAACATTTGTAACAAAACTAAAAACTGAAACTTGAAATTTCATCCTCGTCGCCAAGTTGTTATGTTTCTATATCACGATTTAAAAACACAGTGAATACTAGAACTTCGTTTGCACGTTGGTCATTACCTGAAAAAACTTTCAAACACGGTGAATACTGATTAATATTTTCTCTATCAACATTTGTGTCCGTTTTTTCCAAAATCGGTTCAGGGCACTTATAGCCCTTATGAGGATGGACTGATGGACACAATGTTGATAGAGAAAGTATTCATCATCTGTCGAAAAATGAATGTGGAACCCTATTTCGAAATTTGATGAATTAAATATATCAGATCATATATCGACAATCACACACTCAAACATAAGCCTCGTATCATTTAACTTAAGTAAACTTCGAAACTGAAGAAGTTGGCGCTAAAGGATAACTAACATTCGTGTGCCCTTAAGCTCGAAAAGCGAGGCGGCAATATTGATTCCAGCCAAGGTTAAGAAATAGGTCTGACACGTGGATAAATATAGGATAAATTTGCGAAAACCGAACCTTAATCAAGGTTGTGTTTATTTCTAGGGGTTATCGTTTTAACGGCGATCGCAAATCGTTTCCGCCTGCATCAGCTCAGCAAAGTTGAAAAATTCGTAATGTCTTATGGTGGATTAAGAGGTGCTGTAGCTTTTGCACTGGTTCTTCTCATTGATCCGAAAATCGTACCGCTACAGCCCATGTTCATGACTACCACTATAGCTGTTGTTTATTTTACTGTGTTCTTCCAGGTGAGAATTAAGATGTGATTTATTTGTGTTAAATCTTCTCTTATTGTAGGGAATAACGATAAAACCCCTAGTTAAAATTTTGAACGTGAAAACAGCCGAAAAAAGAAAACCAACAATGAACGAGAGGATACACGAAAGAGTAAGTTAATTTTACAAAAATCCAATACAATCATTGATTATCTATTTATATATAGCTGATGGACCACGCCATGGCCGCAATAGAAGACATAGTGGATCAACACGGTAATTATCACATACGAGATAGGTGAGTCACAACTCCCAACAATTGAATAAAAATCTAAAAATCCAAATAATTCTATTTAAGATTTAAACGTTTCGACAACAAATTCATCAGGCCCTATTTGCTGCGCAACACCCAAGGAGCCGAACCCAAAATCCTGGAAACTTATTCGAAACTGGCAATGAAAGACGCCATGGAGTATATGCGCAGGAACGCATCTACCATTGGTAACATTTCCAATACGGAAAGTATGTCGGCAATATTTAGGAATTACACGTCAACTGGTAACCTCAATGGAAGGTGCGCCTCTAAATTAATCAACTGGTAAACTGACCCAACACTAACCGTATTGCAGTAATGTATAAAGCATAGGGGATAATTAAAGAAAATATTAATTTCAAACGAGTTCATTATTAGAATATGTAGCTGAAACAAAATAGTGCATGGAAGGTTGGTTAAGGGTTGATATGCTTTGGCTTATTATTTTAGAAAATCCTATTACACACATAGTCTTAGGCTAAGCACACACACTAGGGCATAGTAGCATTATTTTGCAATAATGTATCGTTTTTAGAAAGTTCTACATGGTTATTTGAATGAAAGAGTCTTCACAACTCCAAAAAACATTATTACAACAAAATTCTGCTAGTATGATTAATAGAAGTAGATATTCGTTTAATCATTTACACTTTAAACTTACAAACATTCCACTAAACAATCCTTAAGTTGTTATCTAACAATATTGTATTTTTCCTTAGCTCTAGCCTGAGCCAAATCGACTCTAGCACTTGGAATATAGACATGCAAGAACTAGAGTACAATCCATCCAAAAAAGATTTAACAGACGCTAAAATTCATCATTTATTGGCCGAGGAATTGGTGAAACCGTACCGAAGGGTAAGTTATATTGCGTGACAACCAATTAAATCGAATTATGAGAACCTTAACTGCATCTTATTGATTGTTTTCAAATATTATATCCGAGGTCAGCGAATATCCTTTCTTTGAGAGAAAGCAAATGTTCCGGTTGTAATTATTTGTAAAAATTTGTGAACACATTTTTCTCTTCTATTTATAGCATCGTCGTCTGAGTTACAGCAGACACGCTGTCAACGACAGAGACCTTTCGACACAAGTCAATTACAAAATGCACGTCAACATGAGACGATTAGTGGCCGACAAAAAGCACCATCACAGTCACAAAAGGCACAGCAAAAAGCTTAACAAGGTACTTAACTTTTTGGTAGCTTTTCTATTTCATTACAATCTCCTCTTTCATCATATAAAACAAATGCTTGGTTTATTGAATGAAACTAATTCTGTTTTGTTGTCAAGAATCAGAAGAGTTCACTTCAAATCCCAGGCAGATCATCGTCGAGACGGCGCAGTTCAGGGGCTGGCGCCCTTTACAAGGTAATAGAGCAATTCACCAATCTATAGAGGATTTAATTTAAAAAATAATTGATTTGAGAATTGCTCTATATGCGTGTGAGAACTTGGTGTTGTTAAACAAACAAGCCCCCTGTTATATAAAAATTCTTTTAGAGAATTATTATAATACAGGGTGGTCATACATTTCATAATTTTTCCAGTTCATTTAAGTGTTCGTAGAATTTTAGAGCCACACAATACAATTTTTTTTACAGAGTGGCAAAGACAACCACGTCAGTTTTCCAGAATTTCAGCAAAATGGAACTGCTAAGCAATTTTCACATGGTAAATATAAAAATATCTGTCTCTATGTAGTTTTTTCTTTTAATTTTCGTTATAGATTATATCAGTGAAGTTTTAAACGAAGACGCAGATACATCAGAGCCTAAATCTAACAGAGAAGAGTGGGACAGCCCAATTACATTTACAGCAAAATCTTCACGTAAGTTTATTTTTTTTAAAATATTTAATCAAGTGACTTGTGTTGATTTGTTATTGTATTATTGAAAGAAGAAAATTGTGGCTGGTGGAAAAATTTACTCAAAAATGCATTAAACATTGCATATTTCATGAAGCCAATTTCTCCACCAGGCCAATATTGCAATTTTCAGACGGGCTGTTTGTTGATTATTTTGCTTTGTTGTTGACATTGCGCGACCCCCGAGTTTTCTATGATGCAACTTTGGGTTGAAGCCTTTGACAATTAAACAAATTACAAAAAAATATTTAACAAAATGCATAAATCCGACAAGTCTAAAAATTGAAATGAATACAGTTAAGTTTTAGAGATGATTCAATAAAAAATCATCAGATTAGATTAGATTAATATTGGGGTGTTGTTGCACTGCGACCTAAAGATCTATTGTGGATCTCAAATCATAGTACTTCGACCAGTACTATGGCCTTGATGAAGGCTAGTAACTGGTACGGTGTCAAGGATGGTATGTCTCCTTCTAAAACTACATAGTCACCGAGATGTGTAGCCCGGCTTCTAGCGACGGCTTCGCATACGGTTAGTAGGTGTTCTGGAGTTTCTTCCTCCTCCCCGCAAAACCTGCATTCACTGGATCTCTCGAGTAGCATTTTCCTGCGGTGTTCTCAAAGGTGGCAGTATCCTGTCATAAACCCTGTAAGAATTCTTAGTTTAGTTTTACTTGAATTTACTAGGACTTTAGATTTTTTGGGATTGAGGTTTCCAAGGAATATCTTAGAGTGTCTCAGTCCCGGAAGGTCGTCCCAGAGGCGAGCTCTTAGGTCGCCTTCCATTTTCTTAGGCTCCACAACAGGGGTGAGGTTACTCCCCCTTGAGGTGTACCACGAGTGGTTCTGATGCTTGTGGTTTGTTCACCCACAGTTGTCTCAGCTGTTCTCGTACTCAGCATTTCACAGACCTACCGGACTCTGGTTTTATTCACTCCTCTCCTCTCCAGAGCAATTTTTACCGCCCCATGGGACGTGTTATCAAAAGCCCCGGATATATCCAGGAAGGCACATATGGCTGTTTCTTTTTTCTTAAGGGTTTTTTGGATGATTTCTGTAAGTTGATAGAGCGCTGTCTCTGTCGATCTGCCTGCTTTGTATGCATGTTGGCACGAGTGAAGAGGTGCTTTCTCCAAAATTTCCTTTCTGATGTAGTTATCTACAGCTTTTTCTATCGTCTTTAGTACAAAGGACGTATGACTAATAGGTCGAAAAGATTTAGGGTTTGTCCCATTCTTTTTTCCTATTTTGGGTATGAAGGTTACTTTAAGCTCGTCGCCAGATACTCGGTATATATCCCGAGGCCAAACTAGTCCTAGCTTTTCTAAGTAGGTGAGGGAATATTTCCTTTTGCCTTTGATTTGCCAAAACAACAAAGAGACAACTTACAGCAGCCTTTGCCAAATTTCATTCAGCCATCAAAAAACTGAAAATACATTGTTATTATCAGAATGTCAGGGGAGTAAAGACAAAACTAAAGGATTTAATGTGCAATGTTTTGGTAGAAAATTATGACATCATTCTCCTAACCGAAACATTCCTTGATGAAAACATATTAACTAGCGAAATTGGACTCCAAGGTAACTACACCGTTTATCGATGTGATAGATCTTTGGGTACAAACTCTGTAAAATTTCAAGGTAGAGGAGTTATTATTGCTGTTAAAAAGGAATTAAAATGTAAGCTTTTACCCTCAAATACAGACTCTTTAGAACAATTGTTTGTTATGCTTACTGTCGGTGACAGCCACTTTCTGTTTGGTAATGTCTACATTCCCCCAAATTCATCATGTGAAATATATGAACGTTATTCTTCTTCTGTTTTGTATGTGCTAGATAACTGTACTTGTAAAAAACTTGATGTGTTTCTCTGTGGAGATTTTAATCGTCCCAAAGTTTCGTGGCTCCATGATGATGATGGCTGCCGACCAATTGGTGCTGCTTCAGATTAAACAAATTGTTTAGCGGACTGCACGTCTTTCTGTAATTTGTCACAACTAAATCAAATTTCTAATCAGTACGGAAATTTTTTAAATCTAATTTCTAGTAATAGAACAGATGTAACTATTTTTGCATGTGCAAATCCTCTGTTAAATTTAGATAAACCGCACCCGGCATTGGAGTTTGAAGTTGGGGCGGTGAATACAGCTGACAGCTTGTCCTATGATTACTGGTATTACAATTTTAAACAATGTAACTTCAGAGAATTTGAACTAACTTTCTCAATGGCTGATTGGAATGAATAACATACTGTCTGGTCATGATGTTGATGTCTGTGTGCAATTGTTTTGTGAGGCATTGGAAAATTTCATTCATGGTTCAACACCTTTAAACAGGCATAAAAATCCAAAATTCCCTAGATGAATGGATGATCATCTAAAAGGCCTTATTTTAAATAAAAACTCTGCTCACAAAACTTACATAATTTCGTCGTCATTACTGGATTTTCAAAAATTCTCCCAGCTTCGCACTGAATGTCGTCAGTATGCCCCAATCAGTCATCAAAATTATCTTGATAGTATTGAAGGTAAAGTGCAGGAAAGGGATGGGTTCTGGAGTTACATAAACTCAAAAAAATAAATAAAAGGTTTTCCTTCTTCAATGGTGTTTGGGGATCAAAAAAGTGATATGCCCCAGGGTATTTCAAATCTTTTTGGTGAGCATTTCTCATCAGTATACACATCCTATGACTACAAAGAGATGAATATATCTAGTGACCTCTCTGTCAATCGAGGTGATATCATAATAGAACCCATAGATGTTTATAACAAGATTTATCAACTTAAAAATGTAGGATGTGGTCCAGATGGTGTTCCTGTGTGTCTTCTAAAAAACTGCATTTGTTTTTTCTCTTTTATTTTGTCTCAAATATTTATTAAATCACTATCAACTGGGACTTTCCCTAATATCTGGAAATTGAGTTATTTAACTCCAATATTCAAGAGTGATGACAATTGTGATGTCAAGAATTACCGCCCTATCTCCAAGATCTCTATTTTTTCAAAGATTTTTGAAGCTATAATAACTGACAAAATTACACCTTTGTTTAAACATTATTACACCAGAACAACATGCTTTTATGAAGGGCAAGTCAACCACCTCAAATTTGTTGGAGTTTGAGCGCGTCCTGTTGGATGCCTTGGAGGGGGGGTATCAGGTGGACGTCATCTATACCGATTTCTCCAAGGCCTTTGACAGAGTCGATCATAATATCCTTTCAAAGAAATTGTCAACACTGGGCTTTCATGGGACATTTTTTAAATGGCTCATCGACTATCTTTCATATAGAAAACAAAGGGTTAAAATTGAAAACTATCTGTCTGATGTAATTGAGGTTACATCAGGAGTCCCTCAGGGCGGGCATTTGTCTCCTCTCTTGTTCAATTATTCTTGAATAATGTTAAACAAAACTTTGTAGGTTGTAAATTTTTAAACTTTGCAGATGACATGAAAATTTTTATTGTAGTTCAAGGTTTGCAGGATTGTGATACGCTGCAGAATGAGCTGAATGGGTTTTTTGGATGGTGCGAATCAAATAATCTTTTTTTAAATATCGATAAGTGTAAAATAATGTCCTTTAGTCGTCTGAAAAATCCTTTCATTTTCAACTATTCCGTCAATAATGTTGCTCTAGAAAGAGTGCATGTTATTAGAGATCTAGGGGTGTTCGTGGATTTAGGATTACATTTTCATGAGCATATAGATAGGATTACTAATAAAGCCATGAGGTTGTTGGGTTTTGTATTGCGCAATTTAAAAGATTTTAATAATATTTTTACACTGAGAAATGCATATTCTGCAATTGTTAGGCAAGTACTAGAATACTCCAGTCCAGTTTGGTCTCCCTTTTACGAAAATCAAAAGTATGCAATAGAGCGAGTTCAAAGAAAATTTTTGAGACAAATCACATATAGAATGAATATCAATTATGACTCTATTGACTACAATGACATTTTATCCCTCCTTAACATGCAAACTTTGGAGCAAAGAAGAGACCAGCAAGACTTATGTATTCTATACAAAATCATAAATAATATCATAGAGTCACCGGATTTGTTATCACTTATTGGTTTTCATGTACCTAGAAATTGTAATGTTAGAACAAACAGACTATTTTATATCGAACATCATCGAACTAATTATGGCTTAAATTCTCACATCTCAAGATTCTGTAGATTGGCTAACAATATCATTGAAAGAATGAACTTAGATTTTTTCAATGTTAGTTTAAATTCCTTTAAAAAAAGAATTAAATATGTTTAATTTGCAACATCAATGTCAGTGTTGCAACAACTATTATTGTATTGTATTTTTTCTAGTATCTTTCTGTTTTCTGTTTTTGTTAATGGTCTTATTGTACACTCGGTGGGTTTTTACGTTTTACCAAAAAAAAAAAAACTTGTGATAAAGTAGTTTAAGAATAATCCTATTTTGTGATGTTCCTTGTTGTTTATAACTGTTTAAATTATCTACAATTTTTTTTTCAGTTATTATTAGATATTGTTTCTGTAAACATTTCAAAATGACACTTGTCGTTAATAAAATATTTATTTATTTATTTATTTGTAAAAGGGCAGGAAATATTCCATCCACTCCTGGTGACTTAAACTGTTGAAAGGTGCCCATTTCATCCGTTCCGCAGTAAAAACAAAAACCCTCTTTGCAGCTTCCCAATCCTCCTTCTTCGGTTTACTGTTGTCGACTACCGTGGTTATTTCTACTGGTACGCTACCTGGAAAGTGCGTTTGAAGTAATAGGATGGCCTGCTCCTCTTCTTCTTTCGTGTAGGTCCCATTCGGCTTTTTGAGGGTCATCACTGGATTTGTTTCTCCTTTGGCCATGACCTTATGTAGCCTTGCAGCCGTTGGAGTGTCAGCAATTTCCTCACAAAAGGTTCTGAAATGTTACCTTTTGGCTTTTCTTATCTCTTTGTTATAGAGAGTAAACACTTCTGCGTATCCCTGCCAATTTCCGTCACTTTTTGCTGAATTGAAAAGATGACGGACTTGAAATCTCAGTTCTGACAGGTGTCTGTTCCACCATGGTGCATCTTTTTTGGATCTCGCTGTAGTCACTGGGCAACTGGATTCAAAGGCTTTTATAATTGCCTTTGTGACTTCCTTAGTGTCCTGCTCCAGGTTCTGTAAATTGGTTTTGTGGGCTTCCCAATTGGTTTTTCTCGGAACCCTTCGTATGGGTCTATTGTATTTTACATTCTCTAGGTTCAACTCAATTATCCTGTGATCTGACAGGGATGGTTCGGTTGATACTTGATGAGGTCTCTAATACTGGAGCTGACTAAAGTTATATCTAATACTTCCGACCTTGTTCTAGTCACGAATGTAGGCATACTACCAACATTCAAGACCTCAAGGTCGGTAGTCATAAGAAATTCAAGCACTCACCTCTATAGTTTATATCCGTGCTTCCCCAGATAACATGATGTGTATTTGCTTCGCAGCCTAAGACTAGTGGCAGGCGCTCTCTTCTGCAATATTGAATCAGCTCTTGTACCTCCGGCGGTGGTGTCGTTAGCCCATCTCCAGGAAAGTATGCTGAATGAATTGCTATGTTGCGGTTGCAGCCCCAATGCCTAGTTGTACGACAATGGGTGTCAAGTCCCGTGACATAAATTCTGTAACACACATATAATTAATGTCATTTCTTATGAGAATACAGGCTCTGGGTGATTCCTGCTTGTTATCGTATACTACCTTTGAAAGTTTGCTTGACAAACCTTTGATTGCCCTCTATTGATCCAGGGTTCTTGGATCATAACTAGTCCCAGATCTTGGTTAGCGAACATTCGTACAATCACATCGGAGGATGACCGTTTGTGTTGCAGATTGATTTGTGCTAATCTGGTGAATGTTCTAGTAATGGGAGGAGGTGGTCTGTTTAGACTATCCTATCCTCCCCTCTGCTGTTTCTTACTCTGATTTGCCAGAAGCTTCTCTTCACCTTCCTTGCTGATGACCCCATCCTCAGAAGAAGAGTTGACTTTAAGAGATTCGAGGCTTAAACCCTCGGTCTCTTGCCCCTCGTTTTCCTTTGATGCAGTCTCATCGGTGAGGGTATTCTCCAACAGAGAAGAGGCGGTCGAGGCTCTTGGATCAAAGTCCATTTTCTCTTCCTCCGCTTCTTCTCGCTTCTTAAGGTCAGATACCGGGATTTGCCCAAACCTGTAGTGGATAGAGTGTCCCTTGGCCTTGATAGCTTCCTTACTTTTGGTATCGATCCGAATTGTAAGGACCTGGCCGTGGCCTTGTTCTTTCGCGTTCATAACTCGCCACGTATTTGTGGAGAGTTCCGCGTTCTGGACTTCAATGAGTCTCAGAAGAGCTCTGGTGTCTTGCCCTTTGCTCCTTGGGAGGAGGATACTGATCGTATGCGACTTGGGGATGCCGTCTCCTCTTTGTGCAACGAGTTCAGGCCCCTTCCATGCTTTCAGTCTGGGTGACATCTGAACCAGCCATTCGGCTGTCTGCTCAGATTCGCAGTCCACCAATACCATTCCGGAGCGGAAATGTATACCAGAGAACTGCAAGCCCCTGGCTGTGCATCTCACCATTTCTGCAACTACGGCCTCCTCAGTTGCTCGGGGCTAAGCATAACCTGAGGGTATTCCTTAGGCAATATCCCGATTCTATTGAGTTTCGCAGCTTTAGCGTAGCTGGTGACTTGCCCTGCTATGCCCGCTGGTCTATTCGTTTTCTGGTGTTCATTCCCAGTTTTCTGTTTTTTTTTCCCTCCAGTTCTTTGAGGGGGTGAAATAAATTCACTACCTCTTTTGCCTTGGGGGTTTTTCTCGGCGATGCCGTTGAAGGTGTTTCTTCGTCTCTCTTCTTCTTTTCTTCTAGGACTATTCTGCCCGCTTCCTCAGGTCATCAATACATCATTCAGTAAATGATCCTGCAGACTGGGTTAACAGCCTTATGAAAACTGAAAAACCAGATAAAATCACTAAGAATTTGTATTGACCCTTAAAGAGAGCATTTTATGATTCCAACTAGTACAGATGTAGGTAATAAGTAAGTTGACAGGTAAAACTATATTCACTGTTATGGATATAAATTGAATCAAAAAGTTCAGCTCTATGTGTTTTTGAAACTCCATTTGGGCGGTATGAATTGAATCGTTTGCCATTTGGTATCTCAAGCGCGCCAGAACTCTTTCAGAGAAAAACTTAAGAACTTTTTGGACACATTGGAGACGTAAATATTTATTTTAAATATTTTCTCAGGCTGAAACAATTCCAAAGTTGCATCAGTAGGTAATTATTTGCTAAACCTGTACATAAATAATTCTTGATTGAAACAATCTAATGATTTTGCCTATATAGGCGCAAAATCAATATTTTCGTCTCAATCCCTTCTAAATTTGTATTGTTTCTTTCGTTGTTTGTTTTTTTTTTGAAATCTATCCTTTAGCTAGCACAGGAACTGACGATAACAACAGTTTCGCTAGTCAGACCGTTCCTTTAATGAAACCAAAAAAACCTACGGCTATGGAGAGCAGTCTCCCCTGGAGAAGGGGACGAAACGGTACGGTACCGCTTCTTTAGTGCCAAAAAAACAATCCTCGTTTATTTATTATATTTTTTGTTTTATAAATCTTTGTAGGACACCAAAAGCGCAGTAGATGTGTTCGAATTTCACATATATATATTTTTTTTTGCATCTACAACTACGTAGTATCATTATATCGTCATTTTGTATATAAATTCCATTAAAACACACTGTTTGGTAGCAAAATTTATACCAAACATTGTGATATAATAGATGCATGTCTCAAAAAAATTATGATTGACCCTATTTTTTTTTTCTAACTATCTGCACCATCTTTTAAAATTTTAGTTACAGATGACAGTATTTTCTCTGATACTGGAAAACGATTGTCCAGAGGCTCCATTGATGGTAAGTTACCAGTAATTTGATTGCATTTGGGAAATTTTCATAGGCATGACAATGATTTTGTAACAATTTGACATTAAATATAGAGTGTCTCAGAGTAAATTTTCCTTTCTGAACACGCCTTATACATCCAACCTACTATTTGTGGAAAGTTGGATGGAGGGCGCGTTCGGAAAGTATAAAAACCCTGTATAAACTTACATTTCTATCTAGGTGGTGATTTGATGCGCGTTTCGACGCCTACGGCAACGGAAATGATGCTACCGTGGAAAAGGGAAGAGGAAGACGATTGCGGACCATTTCCTCAAGCCGAATTTCCGTCTTGGGCCTCGAATAAGGAGTATTTGGCCTACAATTCACCGTCTGCTACCTTTTTAGGTCAGTTGTCTGAACAATACAGAATATTTTGTAATGATAATTCGCATTATTCATAAGGTGTTCGAAGTAAACGCTTCTATTCTTTCCATTTTGTAGTCAATGAAATCGATAATAGGTGCACATTTCACATAGGAAAGCATTAAAATCCTACTAGAGCTAAAGCTTAGCTATAAATGTCCTAAACTCTGATTTCTGTCCATTTTAAAGTTGGTGGTTCAAAAAGTTGATTTTTAAACCTCTTTGAAGTGAGATTGAACCGTTAAAACTACAATAGGAATTTGAACTTTTGGCTGGTCTTAACATTTCAATTAATTGTTCCAGGTGGTTTAGAAAACCCAAACAAAAACTCAATATTCGGCCTATTCCGTCGCGAAAGCCTCGGCTCAGAGCCGACCAACAGCAACGAGTCCACTCCGCTCAAAGAACGCAGAGGCTCCAACAGTCGCACCTCAATAGTCCTCGTCGAAGAAAGTGACTCCGATCCTTTGGGCGTCATTCAGAAAGAGCCTCATCAGCTTCAGAAGCAAAACTCTTGCGGAGCCGCTCCGCAAATTCCGCCGCCGCCGCAACCGACCACGCCCGGACAACGGAGACAAGTCCGGCGAGGCTCCATGCTCGAACTAAGCGGGTGTGTTTATGACTACACTAATCATATTTAGGGAAATGTAAGCGATTTGCTAATGGATGTTTGTTGTCAAGAATGGGTGTCGCAAGTTGAAACCTCTATATGCACGAAAAACTTTTCCTCTGTTGTACCTTGCCAGGCTAGTAAAATTTTCCGAAGAAGGTATTTGTATTGAAATATTGCTATCCAACTCTACTGTCGCGCACTTGTGATAATTATTATTAATGTTTGAATGTGGTGTCATTTATTTATATATGCACACTTTTAAACCAACAGATCCGACTCTGTATGGCCTGTAGGAATACTTAGTACAGATCCAGTTTTTGATCAACTATACTACGACACGTATTTTGCTCAACACGTATTTGTCCCGACACGTATTTTTCCCGACAAATTTGTTATCAACCTTTTTGGGTTAGAAGTCAATGTTATGGCTTGCTAATTTTTAGATTGCACATATTGCGAATACAGTGGCAACGCTGTACAGACTAAACGGTGGTCCAATTTAGAGCCGCGTGATCTGTTCGAATTAAAAATTTACGGCAATAGAGATACTTATGGAAATCGTCGATTGCTTTTCCAATGGCAAGCAACTCTCTTATGGTGACACAATAATTTCGAATTTCCCATGATCATGATATCATCTAAATATACCATGCAAGTTTTCCATGTAAGGCCTGGCAAAACAAGATGCATCAGTCGTTCAAACGTAGCTGGAGCATTACACAATCCGAAAGGTATAACGGTTAAACTGGTATAACCCCCTTGCGGTACTGAAGGCAGTTTTCTCTTTGTCATTGTTTTATCTATGAAATGAAACTTGTTTTTAAACTCAAATTATAAATTTATTAAATTAATTACAAAACGTAAATACAACGATTCCAATAATAATCATCTGTCAACGATGTCAACTACTGACAATATTGCCACAGACTCCTCAACTAAAATAGACATTGACCGACAGTGCCACCTATAATATGTAAATATTATAACACCTTCCCCTTTAAAGAAACTTATATCTAATACAAATAAAAATCTTTAAACTTGTCAGGCACACGTTTATTATCAACATTATCTTGAGGTGGTTCTTGCGAAACATTTATCACCATGACCTTCATCACTCAAATTATCAAATTCAGATGTTTTAAATACTGTTTCTCTGCTACCACTGTTAAATTAAGATCTTTCTGTAACAACCTCTCCTGCATCTTCTTATCTCTGATTCCTAATACAATTCTATCTCTAATAAGAGACTTCCTTTGATCTTCAAACTCACAGGATGTTGACAGTTTTTTTTAGATCGGTAACAAAATGGTCAAAAGTTTCTGAGACTTCCTGTTTTCTACTAAAAAATGTGTACCTTTTCTGTTATTTTTTTTCCAAGTTTTCAACTCAGAATTGACATAGACTAAAACTGTCAAATGACACATCATAAAATATGGAAAACTGAAAAATGTGAGTGCTGCTGTTTGGCAGGGTTTTGACAAATGTCAAAATGATTGAAATTTTTCCATATACCTTGTTCGACTCAGTAGGAATCTTGCTTGATCAAAATCTGACATAGGTACCCTGCTTCTGAATATGAAATTCCAATATTTGGCAGCCGATACCGCCTCACCTGTCATATATACAAGGTTGCCACTCCAAATATCACGGGTAACCAATTTCCGTTTAAATATTTGCGGGGTCCTTCCTCAGGCTCAGGTGCCCCCATTACTGGTGGTGGTGACTTAAGCATATGCCTTGGATATTCCTGTCACATGAAAAGATCTTCATGGCATATGCATCGGATATCTTTATATTCCCATGAAATATGCCATGAATATTCCTGCAATATGTATGTGCCATCTGGGTATTTCTCAATTGCTTTGTCTCAATTTTTGTCTATTCCTAGCTCTCGAATCTTCAATATCTTCTGAGTTTCTTTAAAGAAAGAAAATTCAGAAAAATAGTCAAAATATGAGAGCCAGGAATAGGAAAACTACGTCTTTTTGTCTAACAGTTTTTCTTCAATTTACTTTAAATTTCCTCTTTATTTCTCAATTTCATTGAATCAATTTTTGTCTATTCCTGGCGCTTGAATCTTCAATATCTTCTAAACTCTAAATAAAGAAAATTTAGAAAAACAGACAAAATATGAGAACCAGGAATAGAAAAACTATACGTCTTTTTGTCCAACAAAATGTCAAATGCGTCAAATGTCCTCTTCATTTCTCAATTTCTTTGTCTCAATTTTTGTCAATTCCTGGCGCTTGAATCTCCAATATCTTCTAAACTCTAAATTAAGAAAATTCAGAAAAAATAGACAAAATATGAGAGCCTGGAATAGAAAAACTGTGTCTTTTTGTCTTAATTGGCTTCAAAGATCCTCTTTTAGAGAAACTCCTGGGCAATCTTACTGGTAGTCAAAAGAAATCTGGGAAAATAATTATTGGTTTCCTCTAAAACCGGAATCTGGTGTACAAAAACTGACCTGCGAGTTACCCCTCAGGGGTAAACCGCAAGGGAAATTTAATGTAAAAATTAGGAGAAATCAAGAAGAAATCCGAGGAAATCTAAGGTTATCAGGGAAAATTATGAGGAAATCAATGAAAATCTTAAGGATCTCGGACGAAATCTTCAGGAAATTATGGAAAATCTTGAGGAAATCAGCCAATTTCTAGATCCAGAGCATGCGCAATTTTCAAAAATCTTTCTAATTTGGGATTATGTTATTAGGGAAACTTTTGGGCAATCTTACTGGTAGTAGAAATCTGGTCTACAAACTAGGGGAAATCAAGAGAAAATTTAAGGCAATCAAGGGAAATCGAAGAAATTTTTATGGAATTCGGGGGAAACCTTCGAAAAATAGTGGGAAATCTTAAGGAATGAAATTAATCTATAGATCCAGCGCATGGGCAGCATCCGGAAATCTTTAAAATTTCAGGTTATGTATCAGGGAAATACTCCACTCGGCAGTGAAAAAATACATGCATGTTTATCATCGACAAAATATAAATGCAAGTCTGAGTTTGTTGTTTTTGCGAGAATCGAAACGCTTATCAGTTATAAGTAAAAATAACCGTGAAACATGGTACCCCTGTTTGTTTTCACAACGTCAGCGGCATGATGATTCACGAATTTTCCCTATTACCCATTACAGCATCCTGTAATAGGATAACATCATGACGTCGAAAAATTTGGGGTTGGCCCGGGTTAAATCCCCGAAATTTCAGACCAAAGGCGCCGCCGATCTAGAGATTTTCTCACGGTATCGAAAAAGGACCCCGCAATATTTAAACGGAAATTGGTTACCCGTGATATTTGGATGAAATTTAAATTTGTTACTGAAAATGCCGTAAGCAAAATTTTTTACCATGGGCGTAACCTTGTATATATGACAGGTGAGACGGTATCAGCTGTCAAATATTGGAATCTAATATTCAAAAGCAGTGTAACTATGGAAACTTTTGATGAAGCAAGTATCGATTCCCAATAAGTCAACCAAGGAAAATCGAAATATGTCAATCATTTTGACATCTGTCAAAATCCTGCCAAACGGCAGCACTCATATTTTTCAATTTGCAATATTTCATGATGTGTCATTTGACAGTTTCAATCTATGTAAACTCTCAGTTCAGAAATTGAAAAAAAAAAAAAAAAAAATACAGAAATGTCGAAACTTGTCATTTGTTTTAGTAACAAAAAAAAAAACAATTTGACTCTTTTTCGTTTGAAGGTAGTTTATTGGTGATAAATCATTAAACAAAACTCATAGACATCAAATTTTGACAGCTGTCAGAATCTGACATTAGCTTTAATTGAAGAAAAAAAAACTGAACTCTAGTTCTGTTCCAATTATTTAAAATCTTATTCACAGGTTTTAGATTTTGACAGCTGTCAAAATTTTATGTTTATGAGCTTTGCTTAATGTTTTATTACTAATAAACTACCTTAAAACAAAAAAGAACCAGACATGAATCTTTTTTCTTACTAAAATGAATGACAGGTTTTGACAATTCTGTCATTTTTTTTTTCAAGTTTTCAACTCAAAATTGACATAGACTAAAACTGTTAAATGACACATCATGAAATATTGAAAACTGAAAAATATGAGTGCTGCTGTTTGGCAGGGTTTTGACAGATGTTAAAATGGTTGACATTTTTCGATTTACCTTGTTCGACTTAGTAGGACTCTATACTTGCTTTATCAAAATCTGTCATAGTTACCCTGCTTTTGAATATGAAATTCCAATATTTGACAGCCGATATCGCCTCACCTGTCATATATACAAGGTTGCGCCCATGGTAAAAAATGTTGTTTGTTTAATAACATATTTAAATTTCATTTAAATATCACGGGTAACCAATTTCCGTCTAAATATTGCGGGGTCCTTTCCTTCCAATTTCAATTCAGTTGGTAATCGGACATCCATTTTGCAAAATTCTTGATTTTACAATAAAAACTGGAACATACAAGTCCATAAGTATTGTCTGGCTAGCCAAACGGCGAACTGAAATAGAATTTGCTGCTTTGCCAAACTTGACGGAAACAATAATAAACAAGTTGTCCAATGTCAGTCAGACTACTTGAACAAAATGCCACAGGTCTACCTTCTTGTAAAAAACTCCCCCCAATACCATTTTGAATGGCATCTGTCTGAATTTCTACTGACAATTTCGGATCAAATATTTTTAAGTAGGACTTTCAGTTATTAAAGTTTTAACTTTGGAAAAAACTAAATTATAATCTTTAGTCCATGTCCAGTCAGCATAATTTTTTGTCAGATTTTTTAATGAAGACAACAACTCAAATATTTAGAAAGATAGTTAATCATACCAAGTATCCTCAACAGCTCTTTTCAATTTTTAGGTTTTTCTAGTGCTAAAACAGCCTTCACATACTCAGGATCAGGTCGTCCACCATTTACTGAGAAAACCTGACCTATATAGCAAACCTGTGAAACTTTGATTTTATTGAATTTTCCTCCATTCTTATCTGCCCGTCTAATCATCTCCGCAAGAATTCTATCATGTTCTTCCTCATTTATTTCCCCTATCATAAAATCATCAAAATATATGCCGATTGGCAAATCTCCATTTATTTTTTGGAAAACTTCAGGACTCACACTTAGCCCAAATGGGAGTCGATTAGAAGAATATTTGTCAAAAGGTGTTATAAATGTACATAATTTTTTACTTGCAGCATCAAGAACATGATAAAATCCTTCCTTTAGGTCTAAAACTGTAAAAATCTTTTCGTCTTTTAACTTTAGTGTCAATTCCTTCACTGTTAGTATCGGATATTGATCAAAATAAACATACTTATTCAAATGAACTGGATAAAGGCAAATACGTCACGCACCCGAAGGCTTCTCCAGAATAACTATGTTATTGACCCATTTGGTAGGTTCGACAATCTTATATTTATAGGGAATTTTGCCAATATCCTCTTGCATCTTGCTCAGAAATTCACGTTTCCTATCAAAAATGTCTAAATTGGACCACCCTGTACGGTTTTAGCCAGTGTCGAACAAATTTGTCGGGAATTCTAGGATCACAAATTGCAATTCCATGTGATTATTGATGCGTTGCGTATTATTTTAAGCTGGTGACGATCAAGGATTTCTGCAAATATTATTAATTAATTATTAAGCTAGTGAAGCGTGGCTGAAGGATGATATAGGAAATCAAAAAAAATAAGCAGACCGTTAAAAACTGATGTTTTATCATCCTTGGAATCTATAAAACGATTGATTTTGCGCTTCATTTAATATATTAATTAAATATAGGAAATTATAGATGATTCCAAAATAATCGATTATTTTGGAATGTTTCCTGTTATTTATCTTTGATGTTCTATTGAGCTTTTTGTTTGTGAATATAGGTACCTACAGGGTGTTACACTTTAAATAAGCGAGATATTTCAACAAATTACATATGCAAAATGAAAGAGGACACCCTGTATACTGTATAATATCAATATTAATCACTTCTACGAATCTAAAAGGTTATTTATAAACAAACAATTATTCGACAAAAAATAAATAGTAACTTTTATCAGTTTATTATAGGGTGTGTTGCCCACACTTACATACTCAGATAAGAAAAAACAATGAGTTTTTTCTAAGCTTTTCCATTCAATTCGCGGCTTTCGAACGGTAAAGGTCGCTTGCACACGGTAAAATAAACTAAAAATTTCGCAAATTACGTATTTTGCACACCACCAAAATACAATAAAAATAAATCCTCTGCTATACACTGTATAATACAAATTATTAATATACGTGCCTGATTGTAGTAAACCTAATAAATTTGTAAATAATTATAGATCGCTAACCAGAGACTCAATCCCTGAAGAACACCTGACTTCGTCGCTGAAACGTCCGACGTGGCTGTTGCAACAGCAAAACAGCCAAGCCAGAAGAGCCAGTTTTACAAGACAAGGCACTCTGGGCACAGCTTTAATGGGCACCGTTTCTAGTCCTTCATCGGACACTTCGTCTGACGAAGACGCCGATTTGTTGGCGAAGCAGTTGGGTTTCTGATCGAAAAGTACACCCCTCAGGAAGGGGCCCATATCGAAATCTCTCAGTCCGATTTTGAGTAATATTCATTTGAGGTATCAGGTTCTAAGTAAGAAGTTTAGTAACGAGTTGGTTTGAATTTTTATGTTATCATTTTGAGGCTTTGACAAATGTCCTCGATGTTAGCAATAAAGCTAGGAAGCACGCCATCTTCACCAAAGTAGTATGATCTGCCTGCTTGCCATTCTACCTATAAGAAAACTACGAAAGGAATCTCAGAAGTCGGAAACTTGAAACCTTCTAGAAGAAAGAAATAACTCATGATTTGTAGATCTTGAAAATCCAATAGGATTTGAAGAGAAGAATCAGGAAAGAGTTAAGGATTCTGGATTCAGATTCCTAAGATCCCAACCTTCTTCTGAGAACAATGCCAAGCAATTGGCATAATATTAACTCTGACTCAGAACTCAAATATTCTATAGAACAATATAGGAGGGAAATTTGATAATTACATACACTTTCTCAGATTTTTCCCAGGACTTTCTCAATAATTCCTCTCGTTCTTTCCATTCGGGCCTCCTTGGATCTTTGAAACCGTCTAGAACAAATTCCAAACCAATGACTGTCGATCTGTAGATCTTGAGGATCCAAAAGGATTTGATGAAAAGAACCAGGAAAGAGTTGATGATTATGGATTTAGATTTCTAACATTCCAACAGTCATTGAAAAAAATGCCAAGCAATTTGCAAAATAATAACTCTGAGACTCAGAACCCAAATATTCTATAGAACAATATAGGAAGGAAATTTGCACGGTCTTTCTTTGATAATTACATACACTTTCTCAGATTTTTCCCAGGACTTTTTCAATACTTCCTCTCGTTCTTTCCATTCGAGCCTCCTTGGATCTTTGAAACCTTCTAGAACAAATTTCAAATCAATGACTATCGATCTGTAGATCTTGAGGATCCAAAAGGATTTGATGAAAAGAACCAGGAAAGAGTTGATGATTTTGGATTTAGATTACTAACATTCCAACAGTCATTGAGAAAAATGCCAAGCAATTTGCAAAATAATAACTCTGAGACTCAGAACTCAAATATTCTATAGAACAATATAGGAAGGAAATTTGCACGGTCTTTCTTTGATAATTACATACACTTTCTCAGATTTTTCCCAGGACTTTTTCAATACTTCCTCTCGTTCTTTCCATTCGAGCCTTCTTGGATCTTTGAAACCTTCTAGAACAAATTTCAAATCAATGACTATCGATCTGTAGATCTTGAGGATCCAAAAGGATTTGATGAAAAGAACCAGGAAAGAGTTGATGATTATGGATTTAGATTTCTAACATTCCAACAGTCATTGAGAAAAATGCCAAGCAATTTGCAAAATAATAACTCTGAGACTCAGAACTCAAATATTCTATAGAACAATATAGGAAGGAAAATTTCACGGTCTTTCTTTGATAATTACATACACTTTCTCAGATTTTTCATAGGACTTTTTCAATACTTCCTCTCGTTCTTTCCATTCGAGCCTCCTTGGATCTTTGAAACCTTCTAGAACAAATTTCAAATCAATGACTATCGATCTGTAGATCTTGAGGATCCAAAAGGATTTGATGAAAAGAACCAGGAAAGAGTTGATGATTCTGGATTTAGATTTCTAACATTCCAACAGTTATTGAGAAAAATGCAAAGCAATTTGCAAAATAATAACTCTGACTCAGAACTCAAATATTCTATAGAACAATATAGGAAGGAAAATTTCACGGTCTTTCTTTGATAATTACATACACTTTCTCAGATTTTTCATAGGACTTTTTCAATACTTCCTCTCGTTCTTTCCATTCGAGCCTCCTTGGATCTTTGAAACCTTCTAGAACAAATTTCAAATCAATGACTATCGATCTGTAGATCTTGAGGATCCAAAAGGATTTGATGAAAAGAACCAGGAAAGAGTTGATGATTCTGGATTTGGATTTCCAACATTCCAACAGTCATTGAGAAAAATGCCAAGCAATTTGCAAAATAATAACTCTGAGACTCAGAACACAAATATTCTATAGAACAATATAGGAAGGAAATTTGCACGGTCTTTCTTTGATAATTGCATACACTTTCTCAGATTTTTCCCAGGACTTTTTTAATACTTCCTCTCGTTCTTTTCATTCGAGCTACCTTGGATCTTTGAAACCTTCTAGAACAAATTTCAAATCAATGACTGTAGATCTTGAGGATCCAAAAAGATTTGATGAAAAGAACCAGGAAAGAGTTGATGATTCTGGATTTAGATTTTCAACATTTCAACAGTCATTGAGAAAAATGCCAAGTAAATGCAAAATAATAACTCTAACTCAGAACTCAAATATTCCATAGAATAATATAGGAGGGAAATTTGCACGGTCTTTCTTTGATAATTACATACACTTTCTCAGATTTTTCCCAGGACTTTCTCAATAATTCCTCTCGTTCTTTCCATTCGAGCCTCCTTGGATCTTTGAAACCTTCTAGAACAAATTTCAAATCAATGACTATCGATCTGTAGATCTTGAGGATCCAAAAGGATTTGATGAAAAGAACCAGGAAAGAGTTGATGATTCTGAATTTAGATTTTCAACATTCCAACAGTCATTGAGAAAAATGCCAAGCAATTTGCAAAATAATAACTCTGACTCAAAAATCCTAGATTTCTCCAGAAAACAACAAGAGGGAAAATTGCATGATCTTCCTTTGAACTTCCTTGGGTTCCTTTTCTTGATAATTTCCCAGGAATCCAAGACTTTCTCTATACTTCTCTGGAATTCCGTGAAGTTATAACTCAGGATTTACAGATCTTCAGACTTTTCTCAAAAAGAAACTTGCAAAATCTAATTCAATTGATAATTAATCAAAAAGAAAGTCAAGATCAGTAGTTGGTATCTTATAGGAATCTGAAACATGGGTCAATTATTATTTGCAAATTTTCTAGTTTTTCTCTTGAAATATTCCTAAGACTAAAACCAACTCGGAGGTGATTCCATATTGAAAAATCGGCCCACTGGGACGAAAAAATGTAGCAACCCTGGCACAAAAATTGCAGCAACCCTGACGCAAACGTCAAAAAATTTGACATGTCAAAATCAAAGTAGGCCTTGTAATTTTTGACAATTAATTCAAAATGGCGTTTGTTTGTTTTTTGTTTTGAGAGCCCCCTTTATTTTTTGATTCGGAGCCCCTTTTTTTCAGCTAAATATAGTGTTTTTTAAGTGCAAAGTAACTCTAGAACCCTTTGAGAAGGACAAGGAAAGAGATAAAGTAGGATGTGATTCAAGTGCTCACTTTTTTCAAAAGAAGCAGAAGAACCTTATCTACCCCTAATTTTAGTATTTAAAACTAGAAATTTTTGGATGAAAATGAAGAAAACTCAAAGCCTCGTACTTAAAATCGGTTTTCCTGATCGAAAAAGCACTGGAAGAGCGGAAAATCCAAAGAAAATCCCGTAAAAATGACAATCCAGAGTCTACTTAATAAAACTTGAGTTTTTATCACTTACCCCATTGGAAAACTGAAAATTTTTGTCAAAAAATGAAGGAAATTCAAAGCATCGTCTTCTCAATCGGTTTTCCCAATTGAAAACGGCCTGGAAAAGCGGAAAGTTCGAGGAAAAACTGGATAAAAACATTCAAAAATGACCGACTGTCAAAACTGGGAAATGACATTGTGCGACGTTGCCACCTCTCAAATAGGAAAAAATTACATTATAAATAATTTTTTGTTTAAATAATTAAATAATAATGTTTATGAAATGATAAATTCCGAAAATAATGCACTGGAATCTTATTTTTCATAAATTTCAATAAAAATGACATCCCAAGGCCTGCTTAATAGTAAGTAAGACAAAGAGGGTTATGAAGTAGGAAACAATTTAAGTCTAAAAATGGAAGTTTTTGGTGAAAAAAAGAAGCAAATTCAAAGCCCCGCCTTTAAAATCATCTTTTTTTAATTGAAAAATCCCTAGAAAAGTAGAAAATTCAATGGAAAACCAACATTCCAAAACCTACTTGAAAAATCAAAGTTTTGGTCACTTGCTCCATTGGAAAACTGAAAATTTTTGGTGGAAAATGGAGAAAACTCAAAGCCTCGAACTTTAAAACGGTTTTCCCGATTAAAAACGGCCTGGAAAAGCGGAAAATTCGAGGAAAAACTGGATAAAAATGTAAACTCGTCAATTGAAAATGGCTGACTGTCGAAAATGGCAAATGACATTTATTACAATGTCTACGTGAAGTTGGCTACAAGCGGTGTTGCCACATCACAAAACTTCCAAAAAAAAATCATTTAAAATGGGATTCTATTTGTAATTTAATAATTAAAAATCCGTTAAATAATTAATTAATAACGATTTTAAAATTAGAAATTCCTCTCACTTACCTTTTGACCGTAAATTAATGGATCTAAAACTGAAAATTTCCTGCAGAAAATGACTCGAAGCCTCGTACTTTAAACCAGTTTTTTCGACTGAAAAAACCCTGGAAAAGTGGAAAATTCGAGGAAAACCTGGATAAAAATGTAAACACGACACTTCAAAATGGCCGACTAATAATTTGATAAAGAGTAAGACAAAGAAAGGGATAAAGTAGGATACTATTTTAGTCTAAAAATGGAAGTTTTTGGTGAAAAATTGAAGCAAATTTAAAGCCTCGCACTCAAAACAGTCTTTTTCCGATTAAAGAAGCCTTGGAAAAGTGGAAAATTCAATGGAAAACCAAAATTCTAAAGCCTACGTGATCAAACCAAGGTTCTGGTCACTTACCTCGTTGGAAAACTGGAAATTTTTGTCAGAAAATGAAGGAAACTCAAAGCCTCGTACTTTAAACAAGTTTTTTTGATTGAAAAATCCTTGAAAAACTGGAAAATTCAAAGAAAAGCTGGATAAAAACACTCGGCTGTCAAAAGTGGCAAATGACATTACATCAAAAGGCCTACTTGATCGAAAACAACGTTGCCACATTCCAACAAATAAAAAAATTTCATTTTTAATGTTGTGTTTTTAGCAAAAAGACAAAGAAGTAGATAAGATAGGATACATTTGCAAAAACAACAAATGCAGTTATAAATGAGTGAAACAACGAAAAAGTAGGATGCACTTCAAGTACTCAGTACTCAGTTTTAGAGGTGGGTTGTGATTTCACGAACTGTGACTTTGTTTTTTTATATGAATTATCAGCATGGCCAATCAAGGTTGAACTGTTCCAAAAAATCACTGCTATTTATCACCGTGACACGACTGGAGCAGTCACGTCTTGTCACAACTCCAGTAAAATCACAGGTTGGCCCATCTTTACCTAAGACCTTCATATTCTGTCGCACTTATAAGAGAAGAAATTTTACTTTAAAAAACACAAATATTTGTTAAACTGTAGGCATTCCTTAAATAAAGTACTTTGGTGCGGACGGCATGCGTCTCAAACTCCTGACATTTTTGCTATTATTGCATCATCACATTTTGCATCTCTTCTCAATAGAATCTAGGGACACAGCATTTATCACAAAAAATGGTCATTTGGAATTTTTACGAATGCCATTTGGGCTCACAAATGCCCCCGCAACCTTTCAAAAACTGATGAGGTATTCAAAACCATGTTCACCTTGGTGACATTATCATTCTCCAAACGTCACTACAAGAACACTGAAAACTCTTTGTTTCAACATCAAAAACTCAAAATTATTAATTCTTTTTTCTTTTAATTTGAACTAAAACATTTTCAAAATAGAATTAAATATAGTCGAAACAACCTTGTCAATTCATGCAAACTCAACAAAACCAATACGTAATTTATATTTTGATAATCTCAACAAATAATGCTGTAGATTGTCAGAAACATCTTCGTCCGAGACATACAATAAAATAATTGTTTTCTTTAAATAGGATAGAAGACCGTACAACGACATTTTCATGCTTAATAGAGAGTTATGTTTATCCAAATAACTTTCTACTATAGTAATTAATGCTTTTTCAACAATTATTCAATAAAAGCAAGGGGTCTTAAATACATTTTGATTTATACAGGGAAATGTGTAGATAATTGTAAATGTTGTAGAAAGTTTGATATTATTGTGATGAAAAGGTGTTTGATTTCAAAACGGCCCCTGCTCTAATTACTAAAAAATAATGTTCATCAAAACTGATATATTGTTAACTTATTGTAGGCAATTTTTGTAGATATAGATAGAAATGTTATTTTTAAATTAATTAGTAATATGTAATAATAATTATTGTAGATATACTATGCAACTCAAAATATAACTTGTTGTGTTTAGCCCATTATTATGAAGCCTAGTCATTGTGTAAATAAGTCTTCAATACCGTGCCTCAAAACTAGTGATTCAATTACTTAGTAATTTGCAATGTTGAACATTTTTAATTTAATTATCCATCTTAATTACAATAAAAGCCAAATTATTTTGTTTGAATCTTCTGTGCACTACATTATGATGCAAACAAAGATTAGTTGATTTTGGACACACTTGCGCTTGTAAATAATAATATTATACGTTTTTTGTAGAAAAATATTTTTACATCCCGACAATACCAAAATAATAATTGTGCAAAAGGCGATTATGAATTTGCGATTGTTAAATGATTCTTAAATAAATTACTCTCAAATCTAAATAATGTTTTATTTAATCCCAAAAATGCCAATAGAAAAATAAAACTAATGATTATAAAAACATTTATAAGTCGATGATCTTTTAACAATCGATAGAAAACTATTAATCTCAAGATAAAAAAAAAATGAGCCAACGCGTAACGAATTATTTTAATCAGAAGAGCTTAAATTGGTGTGACCGTGACAGATGAGAACTACGGAGTATTTTGTTTGCCAGTGTTCCAGTGTTGCTAAATTTCATTTAATTACCTGATTTTTGTTTTATAAATTTGAAAAATAAGAATACAAGAATATATGTTTGACTACAAGGGAATACATCGGAGTACATGGAAATAGGACGGGGAAGTTAGTAATACATTGCAGGATTGCTGAAACATGTGCTGCTATCGTCCTACTTCATCCTGCTTCAAATACAAACTATCTCAAACTAACCCGTACTTTTGTAATGAAAGCTAGGCTTTGTATGTTGGTATCTTAGCCGAGAAGAGCTAATCCTTTTTTTTTTTTAGTAGGGATTTGGAAATGCGTTATGCACGCCTAGGGCATTGATGTTCGGGCGCCCTAGGGAGTGTGGGTATCACACCCACTAAAACCCTTTCCCTATTCTTCGCATTCTACCCCTCTGGGACCACCTTTCAGTATTACTTCAGGAGGGGTAAGCGGATCCATCCTTTCTTTGTCTCTATTGCGTATGTCTGTGTATATATTCTTAGAGAGCTTCTCTCCGTCTTGCTTCTGCACCATTTTCCTTCATGATCGCTCTCAACATTTCTGTGGCGTCTTTCCAGCATGTCTCGTTTCTCATCATTATCTCTGCTATATTTTCTCTAGAAAAATTTTCTCCATATCTTATGGCCGCTGTGGAACGGTGTGCTTCGAACCTGGGGCAGTAAAACAGAGTATGTTCCGGAGGGTCTCTCTCTTCACAATACCAGCATTCATCACTTTCCTGCTTCTTTATCTTTTTTAAGTAGCTTCCAAAAATGCCATGGCCCGTCATCGCTTGTGTAATGTGGTAGTCCACCTCTCCAAATGTCTTCGTTGTCCACTCTTTTACATCTCTCACAAAAAACTTTGCCCATCCGTCATATCGTGCCCATCGCTCCTCATTAGCTCTGCCCTTGCTGCAGTCTTGTGTTCTGCGCCATTTGTCAGTATTTGTTGCTTTTTATTAACTAATAAGTCTACGGGGGGCTGTCCTGCTTTTACCTCCACGGCTGTGATTGCCACCATTCTATAAGCAGGTGTAATTCCTATCGCTATTTTTCGGTTGAGTCCATCTGGTAAGCGTCTGTAGTGTTTCCATCTCAGAATCTCAGGGCATGACTGCAGGTCGAGGGTACCTACGTATAAAATTGCTGACGTTACAGCGCTGGTTATTAGTCGTATTCTCCTGCTTGTTGGTCCTCCTGTTCTAGGCATTATTCTGAGTATATACAGGTCCTTCTCTGCTATTTTTTCTACGTGCTTTGTCATTCTCAAGTTCTTGTCTAGTGTGACTCCTAGATATTTCACACTTTCTGATGATCCCATCATTTCACCCTGGTATTCCGTTAAACATTTGATCGTCTATTGTGCCTTATCTTGTAGTTGGTGTGCTTTTTTCGCCTCGACAATAATTGCCAGATCATCCGCATAAGTTAGTAGGCTTACACCCTCTTCAGTGTTCATCATAAGTACCTAATTGTAAAAAAGGTTCCATAAGATCGGTTTTAGGATCGATCTTTATGGCACCCCACATCATGTAATTCTTTGGGCTTCACTATTTGCCACTATTTTTCGGTCTGATAGAAAACTTTGAAGGATTCTCACCAATGCTTTGATAATTCCTTCTCATGGCTTCGAGTTGAATGCATTTTGTATATTTAGCATCACCATCATACATAGACTTCGGTTTTTGTATGGTTTCCTTTTCATTTCCTCAACTTTAACTTTTACCTTATTTGTGGCTGTTATCATCGATTTTCCTTTCGTATAGGTATCCATGTTGATTCTCGGGATATAAGTTCTTCGTCTGCATCTTCCTTTGTAGTATATTTTTTATTATAATTTCCAGGTGTTTTCCTATTGCATTAGTCCAGGCATAGGGGTCTGTACTTCGTCCCCTCTTGTGGGCTTTTTTTGGGCTTTTCTATCAGTACTAGTCTCGCTATTTTCCATATTTCAGGGAAACTGCCTCTCCTTAAACAGTCATCAAAGAGTTCCACTTAATTTACCTGAAGCGTCTCCCATGCTATTTCTTTCTTTTTCGGGAAGAGTTTTTCCACTTGTTCCTTGACTTTTTTTCGTCCGGTCTTGTTTTATTTCTGAGCCCAAGCTTCTTCGTCACGATTTGATATGCCTTCCCCCAGATGTCCTCATCTAATTCCCTGCACAGCTTTTTTCATTTCTCTGTTTTGCTCCTGAAGATATCTATATCTATATCCTGCTCTCTCACATATGGGGCAATTGATTTCTTCTTTGCACTCTTCCTGAAGGTGACCTTCCTTGCCCCAATTGTGGCAAAGTTTTGACCGATCTGGTCTGTTGTTTATGGGTCGTACAGCCAACATTTGTTGTATCGCTGCATCCTGATCTTTCTTTCCACCTTGCATCTTGTTAGTCCGATTCTGATCTCCTTTGCTTCTAATAATTTTTCTGCATCTTTTTTTGTTTATGTTCAAGGATACCGATTGTGTATTGTCCGCCGTTGGTCTTAGGTCGCTTAGATTCACTATTTTGTTTTCCATATCATCGATGATTTCTTTCAGTAGGTCCATGAATTCCTCTTTCTCTACCAGAGGATCTATTCCCCTAATTAGAACTATTTCTGCTTGTCTTCTATCTTCTAAGATTTTGTACTTTTTTCCTATGCCATTGTCTTTTGTTCTTAATAGCTTTTGTAGGTTTTCGGCTGCAGTTTGGTTCTTATTCATCGTTATTAGAAGTTTTTCTTCTTTTGTGCTTCTTATGCCCTGTAGGCACTTGCCTTCTTCTTTTCCCTTGAGAGCTTCTTTAACATCTCTTAAAGTATCTTGAAATGAGTTACTTTTACTGGCCACTTTCATTGCATAACTTCTTTTTCCTCTATTTTCTTTTAATATTTGTGTATTTGTTTTTGTATATATTTTTATTTTAGTTTTTGCGCCAATGAATATTACTTCAGCCATCTTCCGATACCTCTACACATTCATGGTTTCTATCTGGTGCAGCGTTATTTCACCATCGTTTTCTGTATCTGTCCTCAGTTGTATTAGTTTTTTCATAAATTTCTTCTTCATTGTGGTCTGTGGTGTGGTTAGTTTGACTAGCTTCCTTTTAATTATTTGTTCCGTGTTGCCTGTTCTTATTTTGAACTCTTGCTCAAGGATCTTAAAGTCGTCATTTATTTCTGAGAGCTCAGTGTATTTTTCTTTGTACAGGGTGGGCCAATTTGGACACTTTCTTATGGAAACACCCTTTATTTTTAGAGATAGAAAAAAATGAACCCCCCACTCTGAGGCTCAAATTTCATGAAATTTTGATTGGTGCAAACCGCATTTTGGTATCTTCAACCGTTTAGCCGCTAGAGGGCGATTCTCGATTTTGAGCAATATTGTGAACCCTTCATAACTTTTTTGTTTATGGAAATTATTGATTTCCGTAAAAACTTTCTTGAAGTACTTTTTCAAGCAGAATTCAGTGACGTTCTCAGTTTTTTTCTAGTTGGTCCCAACGTCGAGATATTGACCAAAGTCTGGTTTTTTTCAATAGGACACCCTATATTATTAATAGCTCATTAGAAAGCTCTGCTTTTTCCGATTTCAATGATATAAAGTTCGATAGGTTAATCTCTAACAGTTTTCGAGAAAAAAAATATTTCGGTTTTTGTCATAAGAAACAATGTGTTGGAAAGAGACCTTTCTCAGTTTCCTTACAGATATAAAGTCCTTTTCTTACACATTGCTTCTTATGAAAAAAACCGAAATTTTTTTTTTCTCGAAAACTGTCAGAGATAAACCTATCGAACTTTATATCATCGAAATCAGAAAAAGCAGAGCTTTCTAATGAGCTATTAATATATAGGTTGTCCTATTGAAAAAAACCAGACTTTGGTCAATATCTCAGCGTTGGGACCAACTAGAAAAAAACTGAGAGCCTCGCTGAATTCTGCTTGAAAAAGTGCTTCAAGAAAGTTTTTACGGAAATCACTAATTTTCATAAACAAAAAAGTTATGATGGTTTCACATTATTGCTCAAAATCGAGAATCGCCCTCTAGCGGCTAAACGGTTTAAGATATCAAAATGCGGTTTGCACCAATCAAAATTTCATGAAATTTGAGCCTCAGAGTGGGGGGTTCATTTTTTTCTATCTCTAAAAATAAAGAGTGTTTCCATAAGAAAGTGTCCAAATTGGCCCACCCTGTACAATTTTTGTATGCCCTTTTCCATATTATAGTGTCATCTGGGTCTAACCATATCAGCTTTGTGCTATTTTTGTCTTTTTTGTTTATTGGGTTTCCCTCAATAATTTCTGTGTTTTTATAGACGGAGTCGTCCCAGTTTAAATCTGCTAGTTCTTTCCATTCTTGGTGATTGTCGCATGTCCTTATACTCCTTATTTCTTGTATAGTGTTTTCTTCGTCAATTGTTTGTGTTCCCATTTTCCTAGTTCCCGTTTTCTTATCGGTCTACAAATCAGCGTCAAAAGCAGTGATGCCAACCTAGGGAATTCATCCCTAGATCCAGGGATATTTACAGGTAATAGGGATTAAGGGGAGATTTTCCAGAAACCAGGCCAATCTAGGGATATTTTTTGTTAGATTTCTGCTGTGGTATTTACTATTCAATTACATTTATTGCATTCATCTAGGGATATTTTACTTTGGAGTAAGGATTTTTCACATCAGTGAGTTGGCATCACTGGTCAAAAGTCATTTTTATCACCTGCCCCAGTCGGTTGTTTTCGATCCATTCTTTGACTATTTCTCCATTGACAGCTTTTGTTTGTCTTTTCAATTCAGCTACAATTTCTTTAATTTCTCTTTTCGTGTTCCTGTCAACAAAGGTTTCTAGCCTGTCTACCAGATCTATTACCGCTTTTCTTGCTTCGTTCAGTACAAAAGCACCTGGATCTTCTTTTCTTCTATAAGGGTCTCTCTTTTGAGTTATCGATGTGTCTTCCAGTTTCCTTTTTTTTATAATTTCACCACTTCCAGTTTCTTCTTGTTTGATTTAGCATTACTTTCATAGCTGCTGTAGTCAGTTGTCCCTGTTTCCTTTCCTGCCTATTGCTCAGATTTCCTGCTTTAGCTTCCAGTTTTTGCGGAAGCTTTCTAGTTTCTTTTGTTCCAGTCATGTCCACCTGTGCCTCGGTCAGGTTCCCTACCTGGGGCACTGTACAGCTGCTGGATAACGGTCGGGCTTGGCCTGCACCTCCACCAAAAACTCCGACCGGTACTGGGGTATCCCCCCCTTCACCATAAACATATTTACTTTCGTAGACTGGTCCATCATTGTTTTCTGTTTTTTGAAGAGATTGAAAGAGAAACCCCCTAGCCCTCGAATTGCTCTACTAGCGTCGGTGGTTGGAAAAGAATAGTTGATCAAGGGAAATCGAGGTAGGAAAGAAGAAAGCAGGGATTAGATCCAAGACAAGTTGAAGGAAGGTCTAGAGAAGAGCTAATCCAAACTGACCCGTCTTCATACTAATTGCTAATCTTTGTATGTTGATGTTTTAGACGAAAAGAGCTATTCCATACTAACCCGTCCTCGTAGTGAATGCTATTCTGTGTATTTTGGTAATTTAGACGAATAGAGCTGTCTTCGTAATGTATGCTAGTCTTTGCATGGAAGTACTTTAAACGAAAAGAGCTAATCTAAGGATTGAATTGAAACTAACCCGTCCCACTAATAATTTAAAAAAAAAAAAAGAAAAATAAACACCCTACGGATGCGCAGGGAGGCCACCTATCCCAGGACGGGTTAGTTTCAATTCACTTCTTGGATTAGCCCTTTCCATCTAAAATACCAAGACACAGAGAGGCTCGCATTTATTACAGAGGGGTTAGTTTGGATTAGCTCTTTTTGTCTAAAATACTAACATATAGAGACAAGCACTCATTACGACATATTTGGCAACGGTGTTTCGATAACTTCCTATTCCTACGACTTCATTCTTGAAATGCTACCAGTATGTATCTCGAAAATATTAGGTGTTGCTGGGGTTGAAACTGAAGCAGAATGAGGCAGGTCCATAGCCACACAAGCAGGAACATGTTTAAGCGATCCTGCTTCCAATGTATTGCCAAGCCAAGGGTGAAGTTACGAACCATAATGAAAATCCCTGTATCTCGAAAATTGTACATGTTGCCGGGGTGTGATTTAAAGCTGGATAAGGCAGGACTATAGCAACACAAGCAGTAACATGTTTGAGCAATACTACTCAAGGGTGAAGTTGGAAACCAAACTAAAAATCTCTGTATCCCGAAAATAGTACGTGTTGCCAGGGTCAGATTTGAAGCAGGATGATGCAGGACCATAGCAGCACAAGCAGGCACCTGTTTCTGCGATCCTGCTTTCAATGTGTTGCCAAGAGTGAAATTACCAACCAAAATGGAAATCGATTTATTTCGAAAACAGTGGGTATTGTTGAGTTGCGGTTTGAAGCAGGATGAAGCAGGACCATAGCAGCACAAGCAGGAACATGTTGGTTCGAATGTGTTGCTAACTTCCCCGACATCAAGGAAATACATAGGAATACTACAAAAGAGCGCATGTAACTAAGTACCTACTACTGACAGAAAATATGCTGTCATTTAAATTTACTATTCCATAACATGTGGAATGGCAGAAGAAGACCAGTTTTTTGGCCGGACAGATCTCCATAAGTAGGTACCTTTCAAAACTAGATTTTTTCTTTGTGCATTGGGACATTACTAAAAATTCTAGAAATTTACCTTACGAAACATAATATGTTTTTAGCATATAGGTATAGTCCAACAAATACCATTTTAAAGTCACGTGAATTTTCTCTATCCTTGTTGAATACATCTCAAAGAGCGGTGATAGTAAAATTGACAAAAAAATTGCTGTCTAATTATTGTTCATAATATTCTTACCTGAAATAGAATCCGTCATTGTCATCAATTAGTTTGTCAAAGTTATTTTCGAAAATAATACAACGAACAAACACAGCTAATAATTTTGACTATATTAACCTTTTTCCAACTCGAAAAGAAGCAAATAGAAAACGGGTACCCAGTTTAAGTTCAGAATGTATTACAACAGACAGCAGATGCGACAAAAGTGAGTCTCGCAACAATTGCAAGTATTAAAATTGCCCTCTGATTGGTCAATACTACTTCAGAAACGCGTTTGTAAAATGCTAGTGGGAACATATATTAAAATTCAATAGTAATTAACCACCAGTAGCTTTTTGTAGGTGATATCAACGACATAATCAATGGACATACGTTTTTTGCCACCAGTATCACGTGACTTTAAAATGGTATTTGTCGGACTATAGGTACCTACTTTTTGACCCTACTACTACGAAAAGTAAGCAATTCTTTTGTCCGAAGAATTCGTTTGTGTGATCAATGCCAAGGTGACGGTGGACATGTAGGTAAACATTAATTATGTTGATTATGTATAGTAGGTATCAACAACTTTTCTATTTGATTTATGTTGTTTAGCCGATGAGTTTTACGACGTCACTATTTGATTTGTTGCATTTGATAAAAATTTTATTTACATTATATTACGTTATTTGTATCGTAGTTTATGTTGCCACTTTCAAATATTTCAGTATTAGGTAAATGTCAAAATTGTTTGATAATATTGCATTTATTATTTCCATGGTAAACATTTTTTTATTTGACATTATCTCTGATTGACATGTTGTATGACTATTGTGGATTTCAAAGGAAAAATTGGAAAAAAATTTAAGAAACTCAGAAATTATTACAGTTTAGTACCTATAGGACATACCTACTTCATAAAAAAGGAAATTTATTGCTTGGTTAGAGAATAAAAGACATCCATTAAAGTTTGGTTTTATGTACCATTATTGCGAACACCCTGTAGAAAGATTTTCATAGGACCATCAAGTTAATGTAAGTATGCATTAACTAGGTACCTGGCAAAAGATATTACATATTTCAAGGACAGCGAGTTGAGTTTTGGTATAAGTAGGTAGTTCTTAACAGAAAGTATGTAGGATTTTTAAGACGATCCATTAATGTAATAAAATATAGGGCGTAAGAAACTTCTGTCGCATACTCCATTTATGGAGCACCCTGTATATTCATAAATATTTTTGACCAATGCACCTTGCGTCCATAAAATGTACTTCATGTTTATTCCCATTCAAAATGCATTGATATTGGAAATTGGCCAACGTGGACATTTTTTGACATCAGCGCATTTCAAATGGACAAAGATATGGGGTATTAAATCTAGTTCAACACTGAACCACTATAGTTGATGGTGTGGATATACCTAATAAGGCCTAAAAAGTGATTCAAATTATCAAAAGCGTTTTAGAAAAATGGCGTCATGGAGGCAGACGTTGGGGTTTTTGGACGTCTTTAAGATGTCTCTGTATTGTCTGGAAAGTGTGTCGCTGAAATATTGTCGAAACTAGGTTCTGTTATATTTATGTATTATACAGGGTGTCCCACGACGTTTTTCCCAGGTGATAACTTCGGAACGCGTTATCCAATATAATTGAAATTTTGAGGATCAGGGTAGCTTTTTGAGCCGCTGCTACCATTGTCATCCAATTCCACCACTTTCACTTCAATTCCGGTTAAAGGAGGTGTGCGCCAAAAATTAAAGTTTTAGTGTAAAAAAATCTAAAAATAACTGTTCAAACCTCGTTATTCTACGATAAACCATCGCTGAGATATACCGCTTTAAAGTGTGCACGACGCTCTCGTGACGTCACGAAAACTTTGTCCAGCGGCGCTTTGCATTGTTAATTTGATTGTTCCCGGCACGCGTGAGTGGTTTTTGTTTAGATTATTGCAGGAAACACAGGAAAAACATTATGTAAATTTAATTAAATCCACTTTCTCGTGCGTCGCTTGAGCTTTCGTGACGTCATAGGGTGAGATGCGGTACCTTCATAGAGCCATATCTGCGGTATTATTTGTCATAGAGGGGTGCGGATTTCACTGTTATTCTTAGATTTTTTTTCTCTTTTTTTTGAGATGAAGTTGTTTTTTTGGCGCACACCCCCTTTAGGCCTTTAAGTGACGTCAACTTTCGAATCCTAAATGTAACTTATGGTATATTACTTATGGCATTTTTCGTTAGAAAATTAAATCACAAAATCGGCAATCAATGCCATATTTTTTAAGGCTTTTTTAAAGAAAATGATAAAAATAGTACATTAAAATACAAGTTTCATAAGACGTCATTTTATCGCACGAGCCCTATATTAGAAAACGAGCCGGAGGCGAGTTTTCTAAAGGGCGAGTGCGATAAAATGTCTTATGAAACGAATATTTTATACTATTTTTTCTATTTTGATATTGTTTAATTAAAAAAAACATTTTTTCTTGGAAATTTTATTCTCATATTTCCTGATTTCATATGTTTAGGTTGGTAACACTGCATGCCAAATATAGAAATCTTCTATTATAAAATCACGAATGACAGTTCGATGGCCATCAGTCAGCCAGTGTAACCAACCCCCGATAAGTAAAAAAGGAGTGTCACAAAGTGCTTCTTTTCGAAACTTCTTTTAGTGTCGAAAAGACTTCGATATGACACCAAAAGAGAAAAAATTATATAGTGGAACATATGATGATGCGTTCCGAAGTTATCATTTGGGAAAAACCTTGTGGGACATCCTGTATTTTACGTACCTAATGCTCTTACTGTTTTTTTACCCTTTTTTGTGTTTAAATTCATAATGAGGTTCTGTGATTGTGCTCTTGAACAAAGTATAACAAATAAACGCACAATATACATGGTGTTACTTTTTAAAAAAATATAACTTTGGCTCTGCAACACTTTTCTGACGCACCCTGTATGCCTAAAACTGACTTAGGACCGGTTTATCATTAGACGGTTATTTTAGCTGTGATCCGAATATAACCAGGGTTGTGGTTTCTCGGTCCGAAAGTAATTAAATTACTCTGGTTCCTGGAAAAGTGGTTACTTTTGGACCTTGGTTTCCTAAAATCTGGTTAACCAATATAGTTACTGGCTATCAAATGTCGGTTCTGTTGGTTTTATCTGTAAATTCTGTCAATTATTTTTTATTTCATATTCGCGTTCCCCAAGTAACCAGAATTTTCAGGAACCATCTGTCAACCGATTCGGTAACTTTGGTTAAAGTTTGGTTATATTCGGACCATAACCTTAGTTTAGCTGTCGGTCATCTATTAATAATTATGAGTTAACCACCCAGACAGCACCAGTGACAGCTTAAGATGTCCATAAACGACATCTAAAGACGTCTGCTTACGTCTTTATCAGGCGTCTTAAAGACATCGTATGTTACAAAACCGAACGTCTTTCAATTTGGCACACTTACGACTTATTATTATTATAATAAATATAGTTGAGATTTATAATGCGTGATGCGTGAGGTATATAATGATTTTCTCTACCACGAAAATAGTTTTTTTTTTACTACTGCTAAGTGAAAAATGAATAATTTGTAATTTGTGCTCTAATTATTTTTTTTGAATGCCCTCTTGAAAGTGGTGTCCTCTATTAACAGCTTATAATAACTTCCTATGTACCTACAGAAACCTGTACTTTTTTTTTTTAATTTGACGTATGAAATTGAACCAATAAAAACCTGACAATATCCTTGCGTAATGACGTCATTTTCATTATTAACCTAAGTATTTTTTGATTAATTCCATTATTAACCTAGGTAAAGAAATTAAATTTTTTCCTAGAAAAATAGATTGAGTAATGACTATTTCTCAGGTTAGTAGTAAAAAAAAATCTTTATGTCATACCAATACATTATTGTGTTTTTATACCTTGGATACCATCTACATAATTCATTACTTTATGCCCGTGCGGGCATAAAGTACACATTATGGCCCGCGCGGGCATAAAGACGCAAAAAACAGTTTTCAATTAACTTATTCTTTATTAACAAAATATAAATTTACGCTTATAAACATATTATTTTTGTCAAAAAATTATGATGTTTGCACACTGATGACAATTTGCGAAGTGACACTTTTTCCTAGGTATTTATTATTCACAACCAACTGGTATGACATAAAAGTTTGTATGCACCACTGGTACTAATAGATAATATACCCTCGGGCGACTTACGAACCCTCGGGCCAGAGGCCCTCGGCTTTGTAAGACTGTCGCCCTCAGGGCATAATCATCTACTTAGTACCCTTGATACATAAATAACTATTATGTTCCTAGGGACATAATGGATCATGGATCACTTGACGATAACAATGTTCATATTATAAAAAGCTTGAAGATAAAAATCCTTCAATCCAAACAGGTGAAAAACTAAACCAAAAATAGTAAACTTACTAAATATTTCTCCAACAATTCCTGAATAATTTCGCTTTTAAAACTTTGCCCTTGTAGTATGACTCTAACCCACATCTATTTAAAAGTGTTCCAGAACCAGTTTTTATTTTATGTAAGTATATTAGATTTTAGTTCTTATTACTAACAAAAATAATAATTTTCTATATTAAAATTCACTGATTTAATAATTATTTATTCCTATAAACCTGTTGACTCTGTTCTATTCATCTTTACTCCACTTTACTCTAATCAAAGAAGAGAACAAAACAGTATTGGCAACACTGTCGATTTCAAACAGCTTCCTTGCGCTCTTGATCTTGGGGCGCCAAGTTCAAGTTTGCCATTATTATTGCAAAAACGATTAATTTTTATTGTCGTTCAAAGCCAAGGGTTTCGCTACACTAAATACCGAATCAACAAACGATTAATTAATTAAAAATCGTCCTTACTCCTTTGATAGCAAAATTATTCTGGCGCATGCACACAACTGCACAGTGGGACAAACCACGTATTCATTAAAATTGAAGTGTGGGCGCTGAAAAATGGCAGTCAGTGCGGGTACGCGGTTTTGTTGACTCGATTTACTACTGTACGGATTTATAAACATGTTGCAAGGGTACTCGCCTGTTATGCAGGCCTTTTTAGGCACCCTGTTCACTTGGGGTCTCACCGCTTGCGGAGCATCTTTGGTGATTGTTGTCCGAGGGTCTCAGGTTAGTCTAACCTCAAATAAACGTCAACAATGTATTAGGTTTGTTCGCACAGGAATTTCATTGGTTGAAAACAGTCAGAAAACTAGTTTCAACCAATGAAATTCGCTCGTGACTGGTTTGTGATTGTTGTGAGAACAGACCTTTTTTTGATGTAAACAAAACCCTTTACATTTTGTTTTGAATTTGAATTTGCAAAATAATTAAAAACAGGATTAAAAAAGAGTTTACTTTGAAGATTAGTGACTTAAATTCAAATAGTTTTTGAATGGAGTAATTATTTAATTTTTGTGTTTATTTTAGAGCTGGCATAGATAACAAAATTTGCATACGTTTCAAATAATAATTATTAAAACCTCTAGTGCCAGCATTATTAGCAAATTTTTAATTGATTTAGATAGAATTTTAATTAATAATTGAATAACATTGAAATGTTTGGATCAATGAAACTAAATTTATATGTACAGGGTGTCAAATTATAAAAGTCATAAATAATAATAATATAGGTGGTGGTACTTTATAATTTGACACCTGGTACTTATGTGGTACATATACTACTACAGTGGTACATACTAGTCAAACATAAACTTTGTGGTTAAGTTTTGCTTTTTCGCTTATTT